AGGTGAGCGCCGACTCAATTCGCTTCAATATTCAGGAATGCTCTCGATCTTTTTACGCTTTCATTGCCTCTCGCCCGACATGTTTTGCACGGCGTTTGGTCATGCGAAACCTCCACGAAACATTCACGCCTCGCGCGAGGTAACTTTATCCCGATTCTAAAAATAACTCGAGACGAATTACCTATTGAATAGGGTGTATATGGGGGATGCCCTCTCTGTCTCCTTTATAGTCTCTTGGTGTATAGCGATTGTTCTCGCTTTGTTCTCCCTTGTGTGACTGTCTTATGGCGAACTGCAGTATAATTGCAAGACATAGTATCGTTTCCCCAGCAATAGGTACATTGTGCTTTTGTAACATATAATACATAAATATGTAAAAACCTTCATCAAGGAGGTTTTCTTAAATTCATAGCTACTTCTCCTAAACTAAGAAAAAGTAAAAACAAATATTTCACGGCATTCTGATTCGGACTTAACTTTAATAAGTAATGCTTCTTGTCGTGTTTTATGCAATCCACTGTTAGTTCAATTTCTCACCTGTTGATCCTTAAGCCACCCACACGAAGGGGCGTGACCTTATCGACGGTTCTGGAATAAACTTCGGTTATGATGAATCGCCTCATAAGAAACTGAGAACACGCGAAATTTCGATAAGCAGAATTTACTCCTCTGAAAACTAAAGAGCGAAGGTAACTTCTTCTTCCTGTCTTATTTTGTGATCTTTTTATTTACGTTCAGTTTTTCACCTGTTTATTTTAAAGCTAACCACTGGTAATAATGTGACCTTACGGTCGGTTACAGTACGCTTAACAACAGTTGAGGCCTCAAATGTAATAATTGTCCCTAAATGTAATAAAGGTGCTAAGTGTAATCATTTAATCTCAGCCCTAACTGTAATAATGGTCCTAAATGTGTAAAAGCTTGGTTAGTACGGTAACGAGGCTTGCATGTGCAAAATACACTTCGAATGGAGATTTGTATCTTGAGTACTTCTTTTTCGTTCCTCGTTTAAAATACTCTGGTATCCAGCCAGTGTTTTCGCCCATTTTTAAAGAATCATACTCCGTCTTGAACGTGGCGCACGAACCAAACAGCGCAGTGACTTCTATTTTTCCTTGAGACTGGGGATAGTATGGACGGCTGTGTACCAAGTGAATTTTACTTGCCATTTATGAAAAGGTCCTTTCACATCTCCTTAAATTCAAAACCTTAGTCACTTTGCAGTGTTTACCGAACAAATTTTGTGCCTAAGCCCTTGTTTTCAGTTTCTCTTGGAAAACCTGTAATACCCAGGAGAAACTGGAAACAATGGCTATGCAAAAAAAGACAAATAATGGAGAGTAAAGAAGATTATTATGGACAATATGAAAATGGTAAATCTCTATACAGAGGTGAAGAGAGTGAGTCGCCGGATTACTTTCATCAAGTTTAGGGCCAATAGTTATTCTGCTACTGTTAGGACTTTTATTACGTTTAGGGCCAAAATTTATTACACTTAGAACCTTTATTACATTTAGGGCCAAAACTTATTACACTTAGAACATTTATTACATTTAGGGTCATTTATTACATTTGAGGCCTCGTCAGGAATAGCGACTGCTTTATTTTTCTTATAAATGTTTTTCATACATGAGCTGTTGTCTCATAAAGAACAAATATAATAAAACCAGACAACTCACAAGATCGTTCACTGTTTAAGGGCCTGTTTACGTGAAGGTGGGGGACCCCAGGAAGGTGAGGTAACATGTTGCGGGTTACCCCACCTATCATGTAAACGTGATCCCATTAAAATGAGAGATTATATGGACAGGCGGGTTACCCCACCTTAGCGGGTTACCCCACCTAAGCGGGTTACCCCAACTAAGCGGGTTACCTCACCTATCTGGGGTACCCCACCTCCATGTAAACAGGCCCTAAAACGCTTGAGAGAGCGAGTTTAAGGAGCAATTTTGTTCTCGTCTTTTCATTCTTTTAGTGTGAGCGAAGTAATGATAAGTGTATAGCGTTTTTTCTCGCTTTGTTCTCCCTTGTTTGACCGTCTTATGGCGAACTACAGCATAATTGCAAGACATAGTATCGTTTCCCCAGCAATAATTACATTGTGCTTTTATAATATATAATACATAAATATGTAAAAACCTTCATCAAGGAGGTTTTCTTAAAGTCATTGCTACTTCCCCTAAACTAAGAAAAAGTAAAAACAAATATTTCACGCCATTCTGATTCGGACTTAACTTTAATAAGTAATGCTTCTTGTCGTGTGTCACCTGTAAGCCACCGACATGAACCTACCCAAATGAAGGGGCGTGACCTTATCGACGTTTCTGGAACAAACCTCGGTCATGAATCGCTTCATAAGAAACTGAGAACACGCGAAATTTCAGAGAAGTAGAATTTACTCCTCTGGAAACTAAAGAGCGAAGGTAATTTTTTCTTCCTCTTTTGTTTTGTACTAACATTACTAATTTTTTCGATTTTCAATTCATTCTCGTTCTTTTCTATCATTTTTTTGCGTGCTTGTACTATCTAGAACGTAGCTCTTGCATTGCAATATCAAAGTGCATTATTTTTCAAGGAGAAGTGACTTAGCGTCTGGATAAAAAGAGTAAGTCTGAACGTCCGTTGAACGGAAGTATAGATCTGAACGTATTTTACGTTGAATTTAATTTTCTGGAGGGGATTTTATTTCACCTCTTAAACTTCTTCAAACTGTCGCTACGGAGAAATTTCACTTTTGTAGACCGTTTTGTATCCTGGTCTCAGCTTTATAAAGACCTTTGATGAATAAGTTAGAAAAATGAATTACATAAGTGTCCCGGTGGGGGTCGAAGCAAGTACTAACAACTCCGGCGCTCTAACCAATTAGCAATACAATGATAAACTTACCCCCGAACATGCGTGCCGGTGAAGACAAAATGTGTAACCAAAGTCAGTCCCCTCTCTTTTCATTTGATCAGACAGAGATTTTAAAGTACTCAGATCTGAACAGAGTATTAATAAACATCCAAAAGAGAAAATAATGGAACAAAGAATTAAAATTTTTAGAGTCAATTTTTTTGCTGCAATCACCTCTGATATCTCCCCTGAGCGTTAGCCGTAGTATTGGGAACAGGAAGAAGTACATGAGACGCAAAAAGATTGCTAAAGAATTTCGCTCCAATTTCTATTAACCTATCTGAAGAAAAGCTGAATCTGAGTCTCATTTCTTGCCTTTTAAAGTAGGTCACACGTATGCCGTAGGAATCAAAACTAATCACATGAGGTAAAGAAAATTTCTAAGGAAATTCGCGCCTCTTTGTGTTTATAAACCCATTAGAAGTGAAACTGAACTTAAGTCCCATTTCTTGCCTTTTAGACTCTGTCGGACACAATCTCTTTTGGTTGTTGGCTACGACAATTTTAATGTAAAGGCCTGTCTTTCCTTCTGCAGTTTATGAAAATACGCAACTGAGTAAACGTGCACTACGACTGTACCCATTGTAATGAGACTTTTTTGCTGTTCTTTAAAGGTCAAATAATGAAGGTGTTTTTCCTTGTGCTTGTTTGCGCTACAGTGATGCTTGTGTGTCCACAAGGTACGTGCCGGATTACTTAACAGCAACTCCCCCCGACCCTTTACCCCACCCCGTCTTCCCTCAAAAGAGAAAAACGATAATAACGAAATAGTGGAACCCTAAAGTACTTCGTATTTGTCTGTTCCTTTAAAGGGGGATGTGGAAAGAAGACAAAGAGTGTTCACCAGGTTGATACGAAGGAGGCCTTGCCACAAGAAGGAATAGTGAAATGGACCCAAGGGCATCATAAGAGAGTAAGACCGTAATAATATCCCATGAGCCTTCATTCTACGAAGTACTTATGCGCACGACCATGCGCACAACATATATTAGGATTAACCGCTGATTTGTATAGGTAATAGCATGATTTGTAGTGATATTTGGCATAAATACCTCGAGTTATATTTCAAAATTGTTATACGTAATTTCACGAGCCGTTAGGCGAGTGAAATTTGAGACAATTTTGAAACACCACGAGTGGTGTTTATGCCAAATATCACGTACAAATCATGCTATTTTTTGTTTATACTACTACCCTCAAAAGGTTTGTAATTTTCACATGTAGGTATTTCAAATTAAGCTGAAATAACACTGCTCTAAGCCAATCAAATTGCAGAAATTTCTCATGTAGTAGTATAAACTGATTAAGTACTATTACCGATTAAAAGAAAAATCTGATTACAGGCAAAGCAAAACCGAGACAAGCCATCCTCAAACAAAGAAGTGTTTACAGATAGCTCAGGTAAGATGTTTTATTTTTCTCATAATCTGTTCATGATCAGATATGATACAACGTCACCACGCGCTTGCATTTTGCTCTACAGTTTACAATGTTGTCGAGACTTTCACGCAATCAACGTTGGCAACCCCCTACCACAACTTGTGATCTAAGATAATTCTCTTTATAATTCATGTATGTGTGAATGTTTTTCCTAACAAGAAAAGGCCTTCAGTTTGTAACCGGAAATCCGGCCAGAATAAAGGTACCCTGTGGCCCGAAGGGAAGAATTTTTGTGTGGGGATGTCCTTAGCCTATACTAGACCTACAGTAGTTCAGCTGCCCTATATTAGAATAAACTCCCAAAATCTCCCCCTATCCTAGAGTGCATAGTTTCTTGAAACTACGGAGGTCACCACCATAGTCCAGCAATAACCTCGTCTGGACTAAAATCTTCAACCAGCTGATCAGATCCTCTGAAAACGATACACTGTTCTGGACTCAAACTCTCTTATTCCTGTACCTTATCCTTGACTACAAACAGCCAACCTCGTCCCCAGGGCTTTTCCCTTAAAAAATGGGTGGGGCGGGAAAAGCCCTGGGGACGAGGTTGACAAACAGCTTGCAACCGTACCTATATAGCCGATATGTGGCAGTATCCCTTGGGCCTGTAGCCTCTTGTGTTTGCTTTTGTTACTACTGTAGCCCCAAGAAACGCCATTGATGACATGAAAACGAGATTTGACAACATGAGAGCGGAGTTGGCAGCGAAGGCGGATGGATTTTCCAGACGAGCCATGGTAGAGCGAGCAAAGGCAGGATTAGTCAGTCTCGATACCCGATGGAACGAGCTTACACCAGAAAGACGCGGTGCAATTGCTGGAGCTCTGAACACTGCCGCTGGAAAACTTTCAAGTTTCAAGGACATTTCCGGTGATCCTATAACCGCGCTCAAAGGAGCGATTGAGATTGCAGCGACCTTTGCAAACATAGCAGGGCCTCACGGGATGGTGGTAGGCGTGGCGCTTAATTTTATTTCCGGATTTCTTAGTCTTTTTGGTCTGGGTGGAGGGGCAGTCAGCCGTACACCTATGCACCTGATAGTTCGGCAGGAAATTGAGAAATGGTATTCTGAACATATGACCAATACGGCGCGAGGAGCCATTGGTGATTTTGAGACTTCTCAAGCATTTTTAGATGGGGTGATTTCTGACTTGGGACCAGACCAAAAGCTAAACGATTCGACAGCAATCGCTCTCCAGATCCACATACCAGTCTACAGAAACATTGCATTCATGGAAAATCTCAAGGCGCAGATTGAAGACATGAAAGACGAGAATAGAGACGAAGACGCTCAGAAATGTTTGAAGTACATCGAGCTGTGGGCGAGGATGGCACTACTAAAGGATATCATCTTGCAGAGGATGGCGGCCATTATGCCTACTCAGTTCAATCCAGCTTGCGAGAAAAGGCGCGAAATTTGTTTAAATTTCTTTGGGAGGCTGGGGTGGGAAGTAAAATTATTCCTTATTTTGATCCAGATGAAAAGGGTGTGGTCGATGAGTATTTGTCCACAGTTTTAGAGGAAACTAATTACGACCGCTCTATGGGAGGACTGTATAAGATATTCGTACAAATGGCACCCAACTCCAATGGAACTATGGGATTTTGGTGGGCAACACCTCTAGTATCAAGTGAGCAGAGGGCCTCCATCTTGGACGGCCAAACGCACGGATTCCCTCTAGACTTTAAGTGGAAGCTGGTACCTCACGGAAATAACCTTTTTACCATAATCAGCAAAAAGGATTGCCCAGACGGAATCAATTGTAACGCTTACTTGAGTTGGACCCCCGATGAAAACTTACGCTATGCTACGGTGAAAAAAAGTGATCCAGTTCTGTGGGAAATTACCAGAAGCGGTGGTGAATACAGGTAAAAACGAGGAGTATAGATAAGAGGAACATTACTGTAGGTAACAAAGGATTAGATAGAAGGTTTGTTAGGTTTCCTGGATTGTGACAGTACAAAAGGTGGTACCCCGAGACCTTACCCTTCTTTATGGACCACTTTCTTAACCCCCTTGTAAGTGCAATAAAATGAGACCGACGTAATAAAAGCGGCGCCGCGAGCCCTAGAAAAAATCTTAAGGAAGTTGGGTGTGGGTGGTAGTCTGGTAGAGTGGGGGCTGGGGGAGGTTGAATGTGCATCGACCACAGAAAAACAGCAAACTCAAATCATTTCGCCTGTGCTACACAGGAAACCCAACAGGTGCACAGGAAACCCAACACAAGATCAAGGTTTTTGGGCTATTATTGTGGTTTTTTTCCTCTGGTTCCTATAGGAGGAGTAACTATGATATTTTGTGATACAGACATGGTGTTTTACTAGAAAATTCACCACTTGTAACATTTCATATACACGAAACGACATCCGAGTTTAGGCCTTTCCCGATTGTGCTCGTCAACTTTTGAGCAACTTTTTGCGGTTCTAGCAACCTCGAGCAAATTTTGCCTTTCTGAGCAACTTTTGAACAAAATATAGGTTTCGAGCACATATCAAGCGCGAAAAAGTCAACGATTTCACAGAAAACTTCAATTTATGTGAATTTCTTGAATGTTTATCAATTTTTTATCAGTTTCCAGCTATTTTTCTTGACCGATGTTAGTAATTATTGTGAAATTTTTTAGCAACTTTTTCGCATTCCAGTGAGCAACTTTCCAGAATTTTACGAGTACAATCGGGAAAGGCCTAGACGTATTTTCTAATATTATGCTCACACGTGAAGATAGCGATAACTTCATGACCTTGGCTTTCCCTCTCAGTTTTTGTATTTGCTTTTCTTTCTGTATAAAACAATTATTCCAAGAAATCGAGTCGTACATTAGCTAATACATGTAGCCAGCAAGGTGCGCAGCTAGCGCCGAGTTGGCTATAGTTCATGTACGACGAGATAGAGTGGAATAAATGTTTTATCATATCTCTAAACCCCTGGATATGAGAAACTGGAACTAGTTTGTACGACAATAATTGACTTTGTTTTTATTTTGTGAACAGAGCCATTTTGTTCTCGAGCCGACATATTGTTGTCGAGGCTATGTGAAAACGAGCTTCGGGCTCTTTCTTGAATAGCCTGTGTACAGACGTTCCCCCTCCCTCAGAAAAAATCGCGGGAGAAGATTTTTTCTGAGGGAGGAGGGACGTCTGTACACAGGCTATTTCTTGAACATCTTTTTTATGTACTTGTCACATTTCTTCGAGTTATCGAACCAGCCTAAAAACAGAAGTAAAAAAAATCAGTTTACGGGCTCCACGAATGTTTCAAAATGGCAGCAGTTTGTAAGAATTTCACTTTAGCTCGTAGTGCTGACTGAAATATCATGTCAATTTCGCAAATTTAATTTGCTCACTTACTGTCGAATAATTCCATCCCGTATTTATTTTCTTCGGTTGTATTTTTCGGTAAATACTTCTCAAGCAGAACTTGAATTTCTCGTCTTCTAATTCATCAAACCTTTCAGCCATGATGGCCGTTTTCCGTACTCACGGTATAGGAGCTGATAGCCTGTGAGTAGGGAACCAATCAGAGCATGCGTTTGCTCATATCCAGAGGTTCTAGCTTAAACACTAAATCCCTTTCTTTGCGCCGCCATGTAACATCCATATACTAAGGGATACGTCATACTAGCAAACAGAGGATTCTGCGGTTCACTATTGTAGAACCAAAATCAAATTAATTTCTCTAGCCAATCGCAACAAATTCGCATTAAAAAAATGAGCCAATTAAAATTCAACGCAAGTAAATGTCGTCAGCAGTAAGCATTTTACTTCTGATTGGCTGAGAAAAGCAGCACGAGATTCCTTAACCAATCGCCTCGCCTTTTAGCAATGCAAAAACCAAACATGTAGAAATTACTTTCGACAGTGAATTGAAAACCACTCTTATTTTGAAATTTCTCTGATTCAGAATAAAAAGCAAAAGGGGATGTGATTCTGATGACGCGTGGTGTAATGCCGAACTGTCCTGGGAAAAGCACGGTGACTATAGAACTGGACAATCATGGTACAGCGTTTTGCTGGACCAAAGTGAAGGAAAATCGTGGATATTGAATCGGGTAGGCAACACAAAACTCTCAAGTTTGACTTATAGGAACTGTGTCGTAGGGTATCCACCAGGGTTGTTATTAATCAGGGGGCACCCAACGTCAATTTTCTGAAAATATCTGTTCGGAAGACGATTTGAGATCTAAGAATTTTCGGAACATTTGTTGTAAAATTTCTTGCTTGCCTGCATGCCTTTCCTAGGATTTTCGAACATCCACAAAATGGTATAATTGCCCATTTTTAACGGATTTTTACCCTAAAAAGGTCACCTAGAATTTCCAGGAGCCTTTTTTTGTGGCTGAAATTTTCGAAAAGGTAAGCTTTGATCCCTATAATTTTCGGATCACTAGACTTTTAGCTAAGAAACCCGAACAGATGAAAAATTTTTAGGAGATAAAAATCTGCCTATATCTACTATTTAAATACTAAACTGATACGTCTAACAATGCTATGTTTAAGTGGTTTTGAACTATATTCTCGTTGGGTGCCCGTGATTAAAGGCCCTGAGACAATATGCCCCACGATCTTAAACTTTTGTTTTCACACTTGACATTCCTTTTAGAATGAAGCTGGTGTTACAGTTTTTTTCCGTTATAGGTTGTGTGAAAAATTGCAAAGAGTAACATACCTTGTTAGAAGGCAATTCTTTGCTCAATCATTGTCAATGGTATTATTACTTTTGGTAACGTTGCAGCGAGTTTTCCAAACGTAAAAAGTCAAATTGAACTATGCATAGTGTAACAGTGCTGTCATTATATATTGGTTTGGATCTATCTATCTATCTATCTATCTATCTATCTATCTATCTATCTATCTATCTATCTATCTATCTACCTACCTACCTACCTACCTACCTACCTACCTACCTATCTATCTATCTATCTATCTATCTATCTATCTATCTATCTATCTATCTATCTATCTATCTATCTATCTATCTATCTATCTATCTATCTATCTATCTATCTATCTGTCTGTCTGTCTATCTGTCTATCTATCTATCTATCTATCTATCTATCCGTCTGTCTGTCTATCTATCTGTCTGTCTGTCTGTCTATCTGTCTATCTGTCTATCTGTCTATCTATCTATCTATCTATCTATCTATCGATCGATCGATCGATCTATCTATCTATCTATCTATCTATCTATCTATCTATCTATCTCTTCGACTACATTATTATTTATTGCTCAAGTTCAACTATTGAGCACTCTAATAGCCGATGAGGATTTCAACTAGATGTTTGGTTATATTATATTTATCAGTATATATGATATAAAGTTCTCCTTTTTGTGATTGCAGGAGTAACAGAACGTTATTGCTCGCTCCATTCTGGGCTCAAGTCTTTGTTCCGAAGACAGACACTTAAAACAATACGATTCAAAAAGTCAATAAAGGAACTTAAATCGTGCCTGTGTTAAATGTTCAATTTGTGTGCCTTCTCCCACACACATTCCGCCATCTTGGGAAACAGTTTGCCTGCCTGACGTTTTGCCCGCTTCTCGTCCCAGTTCTCTTCACGTCTATCAAACTGGGCCCAGTTGTTCGAACGCCGGTTGGCGCTACCCTTGGGTGAAATTTTAATCCAGGTTTCTTTTTCTTGTCATCGAAAGCAAAGTATTTAGTCATCAAATTGTAGACAAAGAGAATTAAACTGAATTTGCTTCTTAAGCTCTCATATTTTAGTTCAAATTTCGCACTAGCCCTGGGTTATCTTAACACAGCTTCGAACAACCTGGCCCTGAAATTTAAGTGCAGGGCATATTGAGAATTGATAGAGAAGGAATTATAGATGACGTCATATCGCACGACAAATGACGTTATTTGTGCCAAAAATACTCGTTGATCACGATTAACGTACATATAGCACATAAACAGTTCATATGTAGCCACATCATTGCTTAAATCACAGTGGCATACCAAAATTTATGAGGAAACGTTCCATTTTAATAGTAGCTCCAACAAAGCAAAATATTTGAAATTTTATGGTCGGAAAGTCGAGTCTACAAGAAATTGCAACTTTGGCGATTATTGGGGAGATGTCAGACTCTAATCTGGAGACCGGGAGATACGGTCCAAAATCTGGGGTCTCCCGGATTATCTAGGAGAGTTGACAGCACTGAAGTGGGAAGAGGTTGTTAAATTCATCTGAAATCCCAACGTGAGAAGTACTAAACTGCCGATCCAGTCCACTCTCCGGTTGATGCCAAACTGCCCGAAATGCACGAGAAGCTTGGAAGACTGGGTGTGCTGTCTGAGTTGCAACCTTGATAGTCAAAGTGATGAGCTCATCATGTGGAATTAAAACCATAAATACGTTCATACACTCCCGTAGTTTTCTGGAAAACCACACCTGATTCCAGACCAAAATAAGCAAAGCCTATGCCCGTTTTTAGACTAGCCTCACACGCAGGCGTTCTTAGGGGTTCGTCACGCGTTCCTGCCCCAGGCAGGAACGCGTGACGAACCCGTTAGAACGTCTGCGTGGGAGGCTATTTTTAGACCGAAACGGCGCAAAAACCGGATCAATTTAGGTTTCTGGGAAACTGCCCACCTACCCCTCCCGTACGCTAACATTAACACTTACTTCTCATTTAGGGCAAAATGTTGCCTTAGGGGAGGGGTAGGTGGACAGTTTCTCAGAAACAGGAGCCTATCAAATTTGATGGGCTCCTGTCAGAAACCTAAATTTATCCCAAAAAGCTTACCCTTGGGGCGGCACATACTTATATGCCTCACATACAGGGTTCGCACTCACCTTGAAAGTCCTTCAATGTTAAAATAAAAATTCAAAGCCCTTGAAAAATGGAGTCGGTGCATCCTCGGAGACCCAGGGGCAGATAGCGGGGGCGAGGGAAAGTCTAAACGGGCGCAAAAATATGGCACGAAGAAAAGTACAGAACGGTGAGAAGAGCCCCTGAGGACAATGTCCTACCAGACCAGTTCCAAACGGCCGCCGCCGTTCTGCCTTCTGATTGGTGCCAGAACATTTTTGTGTACTTCTTTTATTTTTGTAAACTCTGTTCAAAAAAGAGTACAAACCCTGTATATAAGGGAGTACAAATCCCCCCCCCCCCAACTGGGGAGGGGAACCATTGCCCCGTGTAAGGTAATCCAAGACAGTCTTGGATTCTGGATTCCATGCTGTGGATTGTGGACGCCAGGAACTAGATTCTGGATTCCTTGCCAATGGAACGTGGATTGTGGATTGTGGATTCCAATCGCTAGAAGGAATTCTTTGAGCTGAATACTGGATTCCAAAGCCCAGGATTCCGGATTCCGGAGTTTGCAAGCAAAAAACTTCCAGGATTCCGGGAATCCAGATATTACCTTTCATGGGGCAAAATGAGATCTTTCAACTTTTAAACTCAATCTTGTATATGTTGTTCAGTTAATATTTTATCTCAGAAAATTTATTTTATATTGGTTAATTTTTGTTTTTGGGTATGGTAATGTGTGCTAATGAAGTTAAAACTTAAAAAAAAATAAAATTACCTGAGATAAAAATTAACTACAACATATACACTGATACCTTCTGCAACTGTATGGGTAAATTTGTGTTTTAATAAGCCAAAATAATATTAAGGTAAACAATGATCATACAATGGATTCACCCATAGAATATTAATTTTTAGGATGGCACCATTGAACTACAAATATCGACATTTAAAAAAATAAATGCACCTTTGGTCTTGTAGTGTGTTAATCTCCTTAAAATTAAACTTTATTGACCATAAAAAATTTGAAGTTTACACTTTGTCTACTGAGAGTTTATCCTGTCATGTATGAAAAAATCCTTGACTTAAAAGAAGTGAAATAGCTTTTTTTATTTTGATAAATATGATAATAATATGGCTAAAACAAGTTTTTAATGCCACATAAAAGCAATTCTGAAATATTATGTACCAACAAGGTTTCCTATTGTCAAACCAGTTGGGCAGGACTGTAAACAAAACGTTGGTGATATGCAAAAACTAGCAGCTCTTTCTCATTGCTTCTTTTGACATTAGTTCTGCTCATTGTAGCTAATTTCTTAAAATAACAGTCTAGCTGACTTAATTATGGTGTTACTATTGAAGCTTAATCAGCTGTATCTCAAATTCTAATGTACTATTTGGTGGAATTGGTCCCATCTTCTTATTTCCGTACCTATGAAGAATGAAAAGAATATTACTGAACGAGTGAGTACTGTAAATCGTATGTTAACCCCCCCTCTGGGCCTATCTATTTCAAGCACGTTTGAGCAAGGCAGGAGGGGCAGGTAGATAGGGATGGGGGGCTTATTTGAGAGGAGGAGCTTAACAAATTCAGCCAAGATGATGGTATCATTTTTCCTAGAAAGCTAGAATGCAAAGTGAACAAGCTCTTTATGGGAAGTTGGAGGTCATTAAAAGCTGAAAATCAAAAACAAATCTGAACTTCCACAGGTGTCCCAAGCTCTCATTACGAGGGTAGAATATAATTTCCACCCTGCATAATGTGAGCTTGAGATAATCAATGTATAAATCAATCAGCAATAATCTTTATTTATTCTCGAATTGAAAGATAGCAATAAGATAAATATCTCCAAGGATAAACAGCAAAAATGAATAAATGAACATAATTATTGCAAAATTTTGATCTCAAATTTGATGCTGACTGCTTCACCTTTTGTAGTTAATCTTATCAAATTTTATCTTAATCAGTCAGTTGATCAATAATACTTTATTCATATTCTGTACTATTACTATTAAATATATATCTATTTCTATTTTAATTTATTATTTAATATTAAATCAATATTAAATAATAAATGAAAATAAAAAATAGATATTCACAGTCATTGAATGTTGTTAGGAAGGGAATTCCACAGCTTGCAACCATGATAAGAGAGAGAATGCAGCCCATAGTTGATGGTGTTAACTCTTTGCAAGGTTAGGATATCTATGCCTCAAAGATCCTTATTACAATTTCGAAAAGTGGATTGCCTAGAAATGTATTCAGGGCTCAAACGTAAAAGATGCGTGTGGAACCTCCAGCATCTGAATTAACCACTCCAGATCAGTCCACATGAAGTGTGATAGCTGTGACTAATAACCACTTTATTATTGAAGATAAACAAGGGAGGAGGGGGGCTTAAAAGAGAGGGGGGCTTCTGAACTTTCCTACCCTAAAAAGGGGGGGCTTAATAGAGGATTTGTGGTATAAATCAAAGTGTATGGAATGGACCAGCCTGGAAGCACAGATCACAGGGCTGCAAAAACGAACAGACAGTTGGTAAATAGATGGGGTGGGTGGGTAGGGGTACTCTGCAGTTAAAGTGACAGGGATGATCAAAAACCAACAAAACCCAAAAAATTCTTTTCCCATATTCTATAACTGGAATGCATTTAATGTTCAAACAAACACAAAACAAGTTTTATCAGGCAGAACTATGCCTGATGTTATGAGAATGTAAACACGTTCTTTCTATTTTAACCCCACCCTAAGACCCCTGAAATTAAATAAACGTACTAAGTATAATACCATTAATTTACAGTACTCATGCAAGCTACATGTGCGCAGTTACTACAGTGGAACCTCGATATAACGAAGGGCCAAGGGACTGGCAAAATTTGTTCGCTATAACGAGGTTTCTTGTTGAGGTTATATTTCATATATTTTACTATTACTGGGGTAAAGAAAATCATTTGTTATGCCCAGGACTTTGTTATACAGAGGTTCGTTATATCAAGGTTTCACTGTACTGATAACTTACCCTTGTGAGGGGGGCACTGTAAGTCGTCTTTTGCCTCCAACCTGCATTCCTGTAAACAAGGTTACCGGTAAACAAAGTGTGAAAAAAATCCACACATGAACTTATAGTATAGTTTGGCAGTTTCTACATGTAGCTGTGGCATACAAAATAAGGTGTGCACACTAATCCTCCCCCACCCTGGGTTATAGATAGCATGAAGGAGGATGAAGGAGAACCTAATGTTATCTTATCATCTTACGACAATTCCTTGAATAAGTGCCAAATTCCAACCCTCCCGATTTGATCGGGAGTCTCCTGATTTAATGTGTTGCCTCCCGCTCTTGCAACTTTTATCAGATTCTCCCGACTTATCATGAAATTCTGAACAGGAAAAAATTGCTTATCTTAAGTATTTTTCTACAACCTGAGCATAAGATGTTTCAGATTACACTTTCCTATCCTATAATGTCTCACCCAGTCTCTCCATTGAAAAACATTGCAGTGTCAAAATGCAAGAAACACTACTTGAGAGAAATTAAATTTGCCAAATTTCCTGGTGGGGCATAACCCCAGACCTTAGGCGCTAAAAAGTACTCCCTATTTTCCTTCAAAACGGGTTGGAATCTCTGCCATAGCTAAACTAGCAAAAATACCTGTTGACCTAGATCTCAGACCTTGGCCTTGAGGTATTGACCTCACTATCGCTTGGTCAATACATCAATTAAGGCCTCGATCTGACATTTCCCTGTAATGACCTCACTATCAGTTAACATAAGTAGTATTTAAAACATAGAACAAACTCTAAACAGCTACAAAAACAGCTTTCCATTAAATTAATGATTTCCAACACCAATATAATTCTAAAATAGAAACTCACCAGCTACACCTAGATCCCAGCCTCTAATAACCTCCCCTGCTCCAAGTCTGAATGAAAATGGACGTCCACTTAAACAACTATCAAATTGTTTCTTGTTCTTGGCTAAATTACCCTTATAGTACACATGAACCTGTAGTAAAAGTCAAGAACAGGCATTATAATGAACAAGTTTTCCAGAATGATTCTGCTAAAGTGTACACTCTCCTTAAAAACCTCTCTATGTCCCATGGCCCCCTGCACCCCCACCCCCTACCCCACCCTTTTTTTCAAATGGATCATGCTTGTCAGGAAAGTCACTGGTCAGGGATCGCGGATAAAAGTAACTGTCCATTAAACCAAGAACATGCTTACATGGGGCATTTATACTAAGAAAGTAAATGGAAATGCAGGTAAAACCATTATCATTCATTCAATTGTGCCCAACTGCTATATTACCTATATAACTGTCGCAAATCAACGGGGGATTTCAAGTGAGTTTTGAACTTACTTGAAAAGTTAGAGATGAATAAAAAGTTATAAACAACATTAATATCAGGAATTTTCAATGGAGATACGCTAAGGTTGCATTATAAAAAATTATTAATAACCTTGCTGTATTGCGCAATATTAACCGCCATCCAGATTTGCCGAAAAAGATGCCATTTGAAGCTCATAAAGCTGTTTTCTTGCCATCACCCAACCAAACATTGTTTTTTAGTCACGTAATTTTTAACCAACACTTCTTTTCCAGTGAAAAATATTTTTTTTATGGTTATCGTTCCTGTAAGGTTGAGCACTCTGGGAAATTGTTCTTTCAAGTGAAATCAGAATTTGTTTTCTAAGTTTAGGTATGCACAGATGGTGAACTTGTAAGGTCTGGATATTTTAAAGTGACATTGCAACCAAAGTACAGATGGGCATTGGCAGGGTTTGAAAACACATCCAGCTTATCCTTTGGGCATTTAGCTTTCACATTTTGCTTGCCTTGGACCACTTCTTGCTCATCTTAGTTAATAATTTTGTTAGAGGATGAATTGCCTTGACCTTTGCCCATTGGGAAAGTAAGCTTTAAAAGTTACCCGGCAAGAAAATTTACTCTTCCCAGACTATCAGATGGGACTTTTAATTTGTCGAGCCTTGATTGGGACACGACTTTCATCCAAACTCTCAGTCATGCAGGAATGTGATTTATAGTTGCAAACATCACAGTATGACTAAAAATACCCTAACATCCATTTCCCCCACATAAATTAAACATGGAAGTTACTTACATTAAAGAATTTTGTCATAGAAATTGGTACTAGAGATGTGGCGTGTGCACAACACAGACAGATATGGGTGATTGTCGTGTTAACGAGTTACACAAATTTAAAGAAGTTAAACTTACTGTTTGTCCTTTCTTGGCTGTTTGTCCTTGGCCTCTTTTAAGATCTTCCACAACAGTTCCACCTGGTAGTTTTCTTTTTGTTGTCTGTCATTTTCAACAAATATTGCTGAGTTTATTTCATGTTCACAAGTCAGAAAACTTGCACACAAACATAACCGTACTGAGTACATGAATATATTTAAAGAACCCCACACCTTTAAGTAAGTCTGTCAATAAGCACTACACGTGGTAGGAAAAAACGTAATAAACACCTCTCCTGAAGAAGACACGCCACATTTCCCCAGAAACAATACAGTTTATATTGATTTTTGGTATTGGTAATGCTGAAATGCAAACATTAATGTTATCTTTTTTATGTTATGGGAAGGAAAATAACGACACTTTAAGGTAACTGTTACAGTTGTATTGAGGCCCTGCCAGGGTAAATTCCAACGAGCGACATGGCCCAAAAAGTAGCAACAGTGCTTAAAATGAAATCGCGACAAGAGACAACCTCCCTCGGCCAAACTGCGACACTTGATAAATCTCTATCCAGTGAGTCATTGGTTAACAACATTAACCAACCACTACAAACAATCTTGTTGTTGTGCACTGATGGATAGTGATTCATCTGGTGGACAGCACTATCTGAAGTTTCAGCAAACGGGCCTAGGACCCGTTTCTCAAAAGTCCTGCTAACTTTTAGGGCCCAGAAAGCTGTTTTATGTTTGCAGTATTTGCATTCAAGATTTAAGTTTCAATAAAAGTGAAAATGATGCAATAAAATTATCAGTCAACGAAGCAAAATTGACTGATTTGTTAGCTAGGAACTGCACTACTATTCAACAGGTTGTGATTTTAAAATTTGCCTGCAGGCCCAAAAAGTTACCAGGCCTTTCAAGAAATAGGCTCCTGATGTATTTTAGCAAAAGCTAATATATTATTTTATAAATCATTGTACCTCAGTGGCCTGTGATTGATTGCTGTTTTTTGAGGGGCTACCTTGCTTGTTTCCAAGCTGTTTATCACTGGAATTTGTAAGAGAGTCAATTGGCTTTGCTGGGCTGGAAGCACTGTTCTGACTTTGCTTATTATTATCCAAACTATTTACATTCTCTGCCTTTTCTTTTCCACGTAATTTTTTCTTGGCTTTCTTTGTCAGTTTTGGAGGTTGTGTTTCTCCATTTTCAACTGTTTCATTTTCTCTTCTTTTCAATTTCTTCTTCTCCTGCTTTGCAGCTTTCATTTTAACAGCCTTTAAATCTGACTTTACTTTCTTGTCTGGACTCCATTCTTCATCATCATCATCCTCACCATCATCATCATCATCATTATCATTATTGTCATCATCAAAACTGCTTATTATTAGTTTGCGATCACTTTCAGTTTCTTCTTCGTTCATACTCTCATCCTGTCTTTCTAAATTGTCTTTCTTTGAGTTCTTTTTCTTTTTGTCCTTTTTATTTCTTTTTTTCCGTTTTGGGTTGTCTTTTGACGGATCCCAATCATCATCACCACTCTCCTCATCTTCTTCCTCATTGTCCTCATTATCATTTTCGATGTCGCCACTTTGAAGTAACTGGCTAAGAGTGATTTCATCACTAGAAGACTCTTCTTCATCTTCAGAATCACTACCTACCGAAGCCGTTTCTGATTCTTCACTCTCACCAGATAATTCTTCTTCATCTTCTTCAAATTCCAGAGCATTTGGTTCATCCATCAAATAGCCTAGCCAGAAAGTAATGTCAATGAATTAATGAAACTTAGAAGGTGGGGATTCTGGGATCTTATCAGAAATATGCAAAGAGCAGTGTGATGGCAATGTAGGTGTGGGAGTTACCCTGTCCTGAAAAGTCCTGCAAAAAAAACTAAAAACAAAGGGATCCAAAACTGGGGGAGAGGTTTTGGTTCCATGTTTTGGGTCTTAGGGGTGTTAGCAACCCTGCTATCAAGACACCCAAGATTAAAATACAACCTCAGATGAAAATTAGGCAGTCAGATCACCTATTTTAATATATTTTTGTTTACTCGTGTCAGCAACAGCCTGAACAGCAGCAAGCCATCCTGTTAATTTGCAAAATGTATTAAAATGAAGTAGCATGAACACTGATGGATAAGTTGCACATTTTGATCACAAAATTTGTTCAAAACTGGGGGTGAAGCTTATCTGCTAGAACAACTTGAGAGAAAACCGTGTATTTCCCAGAATCATGATCACCCCCAAAACAAAACCAAATTAACCGATCAACCTCAGGCAAGAAAATGCTCATGTGATAAATGCCTACTGCTGAGGACCTTCATGGCAATTCGTTAAATGAAAATAATAATATTAAGGAGGGCCAAGTGTTCTGGTTCTACACTAAAGAAATTGAAGTTTCAGTGAATATCGAAATATCAAAGCAAGCTACACCATTTAAAATCAGTTCTTGATGACCAAGTCCTGCCATCAGATAGGTCATTATTTTGTAGGGAGATACTTGGAAAAGTCTAGGATAGCAGTGTCCACCTTATTACTGCTTGAAGAAACATATTTTTATTCCCTGTGATCATTTGGAGGTTTTTTAGCTTTCAACAAAGAGTTTTGAAAAAAAGTCGCACATATACAGTATATAAAATTAATATTTGTTCAAAAACTGAATCATAAAATTGTTGAAAGTTGGTAATGGGTGGCCACTGATGGGTGCTGCTGGAGCATAACTTTACAATATACTTGTATTCCTGTTAAGAGCTGACATAATACTAAGTCACGAGCAACTTGGCTCTTGATGTAAGGGGAGAATGTTTTCCAAATAATTTACATATATACGGCTATTTCAAGAGAGGTTGTCTGAAAAAGTACACGACAATCCCGAAAGGTATTGGGGCGGTTTTGAGTTCACTGTTCTTCAAAGAAATTTGCAAGAATGGCACGAGAGGCCATGGACGTGTGTTTGCGATTGCTAAAGGAAAGCAACAAAAGTAAGTTCAACAGCTACAGAGTCAGGAACAGTGTATTGATCATGTCCCACATTACGTACCTTTCAGGATTGTTGCATGCACATTTTATCTGACAACCCTTCTCGAAATAGCTGTATATATTTCTAAACTCAGGCTGTGGCTCATATCCTGGTGTTAAAATGAACAGTAATCTTAAAAACCTGTTAAATGAACATCCCCGGGTCCTTCCATGAAGAAAGTTATCTCCTCTCCTTCAGTGAAACAATAGTCTAACGGCTGCTGTGGAATTTTTCCAGGTTGCAGTGTACACAGTGCAAATTGAGCTTTGTCTACCTCAACCATTACAGTAACTGGCAATGATGAACAGTTGTGAAAGCCTAGAGCAGCCATTGACAAATGGAAGGATTTCTCCACTGTTTGAGTGTACCGCTTTCCAGAATCAAGAGTCACCCCTAAAACACAAAATGCGGTCAAAGTCAGAAAATACTTCAAAAGGATTCACTACTTAGTTTTACAAAATAATGACAAAAAATGATAACACTACCAAAGAGGTTTAATGGTGCACTTCTAAAGATACTATAAAAAATACTATCAGCCTCACTCAGTGACCCATCTCCTTGCGGGTCCAGCAGCGTCTTTGATGCATAAAATGTCTGAAAAGACGCATAAGTCATTTGTGTGAAGGAGTTTTTCACTCGAGGGGGTGGGGGAGGGGGGGGCAATGGTAGCTTTTTGTAGAGAAATATTGTTCTTGGTTATTGGGGATTTGTAAATGCCATTGTGTAAATAACTTGGGTAACAGCCCCCCTCCTGACCCGGATGGCCGGACACTTGAAATTATAAGATGAAAAAAATGAATTTCGAGGAATCTATGTTGAATGACTTCCAGGGATTCACCTAAAATACGGAAAGTATGGATTCCCACGTGCATGCAACATTGTAAACAATCCTATCAAATTAAAAAAAGTTACGTCTTAAAATGCCTATACAATTTATACCTAGTTTTCAAATTTTCATTGTAATGAGATGTACAACATGTAGGCTTGCGTAAGCTTTTTACCGAATTCTGCTAGCAGCGTGTTTCCAGTACACGGACAGTAATCGAGCAAGTTATTGATACTTGCGCACGTCCGACCGTCTAAAACAGTCGAATGTACTCCTTTGATTTGCAGCAGATTGTTATTTTGCTACTTTTGTTTCCCACGATTTCCTCAAAGGAACAAAGATAATACGTATATACTAACCCCAAAACATCGTGATCAAAGTAGTTATCTAAAAAAAGAGATCAAAATCGTTAGTTTTGATGACTCGAGAATCTTACTTGGACGCCATTTTGAATTACGTCGGGCCTGCGCAGTGGAACTGCCATAGCGAAAGGGTTTCTGGGTACATGTCCTCTTTCAGCCTTCCTCTTCGAAGGTGAGATAGCGTTCAATGTGCTATGAATATCAACAATTATCTATCCCATCCTCTCTTATAACTTCTCCAAGGAATTAATTATGTAAAGAATAACCATTACTCCTTCTCTCTGGAGTGTTAAATTTGTGCTCAAGCCAGGGTTATTGCAAGGAATTTAATGTTTAGAAAACCGATCTTTGATTCCACTTTCCAACTAATGTATTGCTTTTGTAATTTCTTCGTTTTGCATTTGTGGACGCTTTTTAAGAGCAACCACGTTTTATTTCTTAGTGATTTCATTGCTTAGAGGCATAAAGTTTTGAATGGTGTAAATGCTGTGTTAATGTTGTGTCTGTCACTTGGAGAGATGTTGTAGATGTTCGTTTTAAAAAACAAACGTTCACGTTTTCTAGGTCCTACAACGCAAAATGACTCGGTATTCAACCGATCCCGAGAATCCAACAAAGTCGTGCAAAGCACGAGGCTCAAACCTTCGCGTGCACTTCAAGAACACGCACGAAACAGCTGTGGCCATTAAAGGCATGCATATCCGCAAGGCCAACAAGTACCTGAAGGATGTGGTTGCTAAAAAGCAGATCATACCTTTCCTCAGATTCAATGGTGGTGTTGGTCGTAAAGCTCAGGTATGCTCCATCTCTATGTTTATTCAAGAAACCATTAGTAAAAAGGGAAAGACCTATTTTTTTAACCTCCTTTAGCCATCCTTTTTCTTTTCTTGTTTAGCATGGATTGGGTCGGTCGGTCAGTCAGATCGAAAAAAAAAAATTAAAAAATATTGGCAAGAAGGCTGGGAATAGGGGGCCTGGTACCCCAACATAATAGTGAGCCTGGAAATACTAAACATAGTCACAAAATCAATGTCGCAGAAATTGCGATGGTCATTGTCATAGAAAGAGAAAGATGGAAGAGCGAAAATGGGGGTGGCCTTTGAAAGTTGAAATGTGGGTTCAACTATTCTATAAAGGGTCCATATGGCTGTCAGGTGATAAAAACAGCTGATGTGTCATGAATAGCTTCCAAGATCTTGACAAAAACAGATGTATGAGAACAGTCACTATCCTTTTAATGCTCTCTGTTCAAAAACCGATTGCACAAGATCCTTTTCTTCTTACTGCTAGGCTGTTTGTATCTAAAAGTACAAAGTAAACTGGGAAGCTATCTGTTGACAGATCTGCTTAGAGTTCATTTAGTATCGCAAGCGTCACACATTCACTTTAGTTCTCAACAGATGTTTCCTACCCTACTAGGACTAAGAAAATCTCGTACCTGTTGTCGTACTCATCTTAGAATCTAGAGGTCCCTATTTTTGAACAACCACGTCAACCAGAAGTGGACATCTTACATTCTTGGGCAATGCTGTCGTCTTAATTCTCAGGCAAATTGCCTCTGTAAGAGTAAAGACACTAAGCAAGATAAAATTGGTATCGTCAAGGCAAAATAAAGGGGAAAAGGCCCCTCTTCTGGTTGACATGGGTGGCTCTAAAACACCTTTGCTCTTTAAGTTCCCTATTATAAGAGTGCCAGCTTCTCGGCAGCACTACTTACAAAAATTAGGAATGAAATTGAAAAAAAGAAAGGAGTTTACAAGATGGAGTATTCCCAATACAGATCCTTACCTACCTACTTACTTATGTACCTCCTTACTCGCTTATTTACATCCTTACTTCCAGTTGTAAATACTTCCTTCCTTACTTACCTACCTGCCTGCCTGCCTTCCCGCCTGCCTACCCATCCCCTCTATTACCATTTTTCTCTACCTATTAATGGCTACCACTAGAATAGGAAGGAATTTATTCAGTACAAGACTATGCTGTAGTAGTGCCTGGTTACCCTTGGCACCTAACTTTTGTTCCCTGGATGGCAAGTAGAAAATTTTAGTTTTTTCATAGCAGTCATAGGCTGGGGACCCTTGATTTCACTGGTTCAAAGCACTGGGCTTCCTCTAGTTTTCTTAGAGCTCAGCCTTGTGGGGTTTGTTTGATGTAACAAAAACCCGGCTGATCGAGAAACCATTAATTACTTTTAGGCCAAGAATCATAAAGCCCCAGGATCCCAGGGACGATGGCCAAAGAAGAGTGCTGAGATTCTTCTTCAGCTTCTCAAGAATGCTGAGAGCAATGCTGAGTTCAAGGTGAGTGTGCAATATAGGTTTCAGGTCAGTTCAGTAGAACCCTGCCTTCTGGCCACCTCGGTAGTACTGTCACCTTGTTATTACAGCCACCTGGCAAAATAACCGTACATTTTCAGGGTGTTCATTAGGCTTCACAGACTGGAGAATTCTCCGTTTACTATGCGGAATTCTCTGACTAACGTTTGGTAGCTTATGACTATTTTTTTTCAGACATGGAGCCTCTTTCGTGATAGTACCTTTCTCCTGCTACTAGGATTCTTAATGAAAACCCTGCATTTTTTATTAAAAAAACCCTTGTTAATATGGTCACTCATTAATGCGGCCAAATTTTATCACCCCATTGGTGACTATATCAATGGGGTTCCACTATATATATTTTGCACTGAAATGGATTTTTGTGCTTGGCATACTCATGCACTCTTACTGTCATTGACTTTTACTTGTGAACAACCTATTCACTTAGTTTGTAAGTTTTCTTTCCGTGCACTGTAAAGTCTGTTTGTGTACCATCCACTGGAACCATAAAAATGTTCTTTTCTTGACATGTGCGTTCTATTTCTGTTCAGGGATTAGATGTGGACTCTCTGGTGGTCGAGCACATTCAAGTTAATGCTGCTCCCAAGATGAGAAGGAGAACCTACAGAGCTCATGGACGTATAAATCGTAAGTCACTGTTTATTTTGATTGCAAATGCTTTGAAGCCAGGAGTCATGTCATAGGAAGTCAAATATGGTCTTCTTGAGGAGCGTACATGATTTGTACAGTAATTCCTGAATAAGGCTGTTACTGACTGCTATTGATGTTTCGACTACCAGTGCAGAAGCCAAATGAAAGGCTCTGCTAGCAAGGTGATGTGCCACATTTGGATTGTTATTTTTTCATGCCCATCACTATCTAAGTTACCGATCCCCACATAGTCAGTGATGACTGTTGAGGCACCACAGATGACTTGGGTAGAGTAGCCTGCATAGCTGGCAGGAATACTGTAGTGTAGGAGTGTTGTGTTGGCAGTGGAGCCGTGAGAAGAGTGGGTACAAGCCAATTTGAAATCTGTGTGGCATTCAAAACGCGTAAGAAATGTGGTAGGTGGGATTTTCCCTTGCGGCTTCGCCTCTCCTTTGGCGTAGTAGCTCGGCTGCCAGAAAGTACCCCTGCCACAAGAATGCGCCAGCTACGCAGGCTATAGGTACAGCAATGGGGTAATTTTATATGCTGTTTCCCTTGTTGATTGCAGCGTACATGAGTTCACCATGTCACATAGAGATGATCTTGGCAGAACGCGAGCAAGTGGTGCCACGAGGAGAAGATGAAGTTGAAGTTAAAAAAGTTTCCAAGAAGAAGATGGCGCGAGAAAAGATGAAGTCTAGGGAATAGATTCCTGCTTCGAATACTGTAAAATAAAATTTCTCAACTTGGAAAACGATTTTTGATTGTGTTTAATATTATTATACTATTCCATCCTTGATCCACTGTCCACAGCACCATACTGATGTAAAATGATTCGCACGATCACACAATGCAAGCAACTCCTTCTCAACTCTGGTTGCTCGCTATTTGTACTTGCACAATACTTAAGCGTTAGTTTTCTTATAAGACTTTTTAAAGGTCATGGCAAATTACCTCTGTCAATTTAGTTGGCAAAACAATATTTTTGTGTTTTATTCCCGAGGCATTTTAACCTACGATCAGGCCTTGTTTTAGTGATATTTTTTGGGAGATATAGGCAGCGTTGCAGCACAGTTGCCTGTGAAACTATTTTTTGAGCCTTAAAAGGGATTCAAGACCCACGGTGGATGTAGACTGCAAAACAGCCGTATTTTTGCGTATTCAAGTACGCGCGAGCAGTCAAACAAAAGGTCTGCAGCGAGGCTGAAAATGGAGAGCGAGACTGCGAAGAGAAGCAAAAAATACTCAAGGCCCGGTTCCTCGAAAGATGGTTACGTTTAACCCAGGATTAAGGTAAATTTCAAGTACGGTTTTCTCGTCTATAAGAAAGAGCCTTTACTACGAGATGCAGTAATGATAGCACAAAATGTTACCGTGAGCAATGCTTAGGAATATAAAAATAATACGCTAATATTTTGTCGCAGATTTCCCAAGTAGATCCACGATCCGCGGGCGAGTGGTTTCACTGCAAAGTTTTGAACATTTTATGGCGTCATTTCTATATATGGTCTATAAAGGTGTAGCCAATGGAAAATTGTGGTCGATTTGTTTTTTACAGTAACATTTTTTATTTTTTTACGAAAAACCAAAAACAAAACAACCGGCACTGCGTGACATTTAACGTCATTTCCATGGTCTATTTAACAACTATCCCTCGAGCCCGAATGGGCTCTGGGGCCCGTTTCTCGAAGCTCCCGGTAATTACCGGGCCCGTTAAGCTGTTTTGTTTTCCATTTTAGAAGAGAGTTTTAAAACTTTTGAAAATTATACAGTAGAGTTATTAGCTAACGAAACAAAATGGACTTCATTAGAGGTCAGAACACACCCTACTTTTCTTGAGACTTTGATTTAAAAATATGATTCCGGGCCCGTTAAGTTACCGGGACTTTCGAGAAACGGGCCCCTGAGTCGATAGCACGGGCTACTGACTCAGAGGCCATAAGGGCGAGAGGAGTAATTGTTATAGTAAAATCCAACTAGTTGGTCAAAAATATCGAGAAAAAAAAATTTTAGCTAGTTAAAGCTAGACTTTAATCCTTTTTGCCGCCAAAAAGCGTGCGTTTTTCGCTACTAGTGATAACATATAGCCTAGTAGTAGCTCAACCAATCAGAACACAGCATTGATAATAGACCACTAGTTGGATTTTACTAAACTCTCATAGACCATGGCTCTCGACCAATCAGCGCGCGAGGATTCGCTCAGTTACTGTAAAATTTCGTATACCTTCTATTGACAAATGGTACCTCTCTCATACACTTTGTTTAGCACTTTGCATCCCTTTTAACTGCTATAAATGCAATGTCATTTAAATAGGAATCAATCACAAACCTAGAACGTTCTCCCGACTTTATAACGCCATTAAATTCATCTGTTCAGGCCTTTGGGCCCTTTCACAAACCCAAATGACAGATTTGCCTTCTGTTTCGTATACTTCAACGGGTAAAATCCCTACCCTTTCATCTGAAGCCTGAAAAAGGTACTCCTTTCCGGCGGAGCCTCCCCGTATAGGCCGTTATAGGGAGTACCCCCCGGGGGGGATAAACCAAAGAATGTGAATGGACTAATGGTAGAGAAGGCCCCAATAACGATTCAACAACTTCATGATGGAAAAAAGCACTGTTCTAAGATTGATAAAACGTTTTTAGTGCGAAATAGCCACTTTGAGGTTTGGTTTCAGTAGAACTTTAACCTTAGACAAGGCCGAACCGAATCAGTTTAGCAACTCTCACACATTCTTACTTGTCGCGCTCCAAGGAAGTAATGGGTCCACTAAGTGAGATTGAATTTCAGACGATTACTTCGTGTCGTCTTTACTCCCTCCAGTAATCGGCTCCTGCTCCCTCTAAGCTGGGAGTAAGGAGGAGAAAACGACTCGAAGTAATCGTTTGAAATTCTAGCTAACAAGTGAGATAGATCTATCTCACAGTTTGAGATAGATTCCTTGGAAAATGATCCACTGCATAATGTTTGACTTTCAGGCTGTTCTGTTCTGTTTTTTCTTTTGTTGTTGTTTTTATCTAGCACGGACTTTGAGTTTATTTGAAGCTTTTACCATCGCATCATGGGACTCTCGCACGATTTCGAGTCCTTCAGTCCGTGTTGTGTCACTTTTTCTGTAGTCTTTTTTGCATTATAACCATTTTTTTTCTTGGAAATACGCAAGACGGTTTTTTTTCCAAAAAAATACAACATGAAATTGATTTTGATTGTTTGATTTTGAAAAATCCCAGAACTTAAAGTATTAAAATAATAATTAGTTCTTGCTTGGACACATATGAGTTCGTCTTGGCCTGTTGCAAAGTGAACACCGACTTCTCAGTGCACTTTTTAGCGCAAAGAGAAGCAGTTCATACTGAATCACAGCGGTGCTGAGTTGCTCCTTGCCTGTTAATGTAAGCACGGTTGCTTCCCTAGAAACGGCCAAAGCAAACAATAAACAATGCCGTGCAAAGTGACACGAGGGTGGAGTGGGAGTGAGACAGAGTTCATAGATCATGACGTCATCGACATCCTCTGTAAACCTGCATCATTTCCATCATGCAGAACAAAGAGAGTTATAGATACGTTTCTTCCGTTTATTTATGAAGTTAACGACCTTTCAAAGTGAGTGTTTCTCGATAAAACATTTCTAGTGCCACACTGAAGGACTTAGAATTATGGAGCTGAAGAGAACCGAGTGGATTACGCGCCAAATGAGGTCTAAAGGTGGTTAGTAAAGTTTAGTCTGGTTAAGGAAAGTATGGATGGAATGTCTCTAACCAAAGAACAATATGAACAACGCTGGTTCCACTTGAGATATAAACACTATGACTGAAATTAAGGCTTCTTCTTCAACTGTTTTTAACTCTCCACGAACAAACAAGGTTTCGGAAACCCAAAGAAGAATTCCTCTACGGAAGGATGTTGTTAATGGAGACGAGATCAGAACGTTTGAATTCGACGGTTGCTCGTCGGGCAATTTTGGAGTTTCACTAGAAAACAAAGCCACCGGAAGCTCAAATCGTACAAGAAGTGCTTTGGGGAATATAAGAATAGCTGAAATATCGCCTGATGGTGCAGCTAAACAGGACGGAAGGCTATCGGTCGGAGATCGAGTCTTGGAAATTAATGGCCATGATTTGAGTAGGGCAAGTTTGGAACGTGCAAGGTAATCTTCATCAAAGTTTACAAATAACCACAACAGGTAGTTTAAGAGTGGAAAAGAGTAAGTGAATTAATCTCGTAATGTGGATTCTTTTGGCATGTGGTTATAACAAGGGTTAATTCTAAGGTGGCCATAGTATTTGTCTACTCTTTGCGACGAATGCAATCCCGATCTTTTTACTGATTTTACTGTGTGAGCGCTTTACCTTTTCGTAATTTATTCAAGGTACTTTTAAAGCTAAAACAACTTGTATTGCTTGTGGTTTTAGCATACTTGTACGCTATTTTCAGATGTTGGCCCCTTATGTTTGTGTTGTAGACTAGTAGGTGTTTATATCTCTATTGCGTTTTATGTGTTTTGTGTGACCCCTGTCTATATCAGAGAATGTATTCTCCGAGAGTCTTGTTGATGTCTTCTATGTTTCCATTGTAGCGTTGCTTTATAATTGACACCTTCGAAAAATGGAAATGACAGCAACTCATTAATTAATGATTTTTGTTCGTTTCCTTCAATCTGATTGTAAAGAGGCCTAGACTAGACTAAATTAAGATGTTATTTGTCCGATTCGAAACCTAGCGAAAAGTACAGTATTCATCTATTAAATTCATCCCCTTTAAACAATGGAATCATTTCTGTAGATTCCACTATGAAATTGAATCATTCTTGCAAAATTATTTTCTTTGCATCAAATGCCCAAATACACAGAATCAACTAATGCCTTTTTTAAAAATTCAATATATAATAACAATTATTATTGGTGTTAAGTATTAATTTGCAAATGATTTTTCTATAGGTGGTACTTAGGCAGTGCGTTGCGAAGTGGCAAATTAAAAATACTGGTTGTTCAAAACACTGTTGAAGACAAAAACACAGCTTTGACAAATGGTGTTGAAAGCCTTATTGAAAAGATACCTCAGGCGTCAAAACCGGTAAATAAATAATACACAACTCTCACCTTTGAAATTATGACTAAAACTTTTTAAAATAATAAGTCTCATAAAAATTTTGTGAATTATGATTGTTTTAGAGGATGTAATAATTTTAGCTTAAAATGCCAGCATTATTTCCTATTGACCATTGTAAGGACAGTTAAAAAATAAGCTCGTGACAATATTCAGGGCTTCTGATATTTCGCGGAAAAAAAAGCAAAATTTTGCGGGATTTTCAGGGGCAAATTCGCGGAAAAATCGGCCGATTTCGCGGGAAAAAAGTCAAAATTCGCTCAAAAATCGGCCCAGTTCGAGCGATTTTCACCGGCGAAAAGTCAAAATTCGCAGAAAAATCGGCCGATTTCGCGGGATTTTAGCGGAAAGAGTCAAATTTCGAAGGATTTTCGGGGCAAATTCTTAGAAAAATCGGCCGATTTCACGGGAAATTTTTGGGGGAAACTTCGCCAAGAAACAATCAGTAAAAAACAGCCGATTTCGCTGGATGTTTTTGGCAAATTTCACTAAAATCGATCAATTTTGCGTCGATATGACCAGCATTGTTTAACGTTTTTTTAACAGGGATAATCACTTGCTCTTTCAACAACAGTTCGCTCGAGAAATGAGCGAATGCTAAAGCTGTTAACATTATGGTTAGTGCCCAGTTTTTCGCAACGTTCATCTAAGACGCGTGGTAGTTTTGAGACGTAATGTTTACTCGTTGCAGTGACGAATAGTTTCAAGATAAATTTGGACGTTTGAGGTGAATAGAACAGGTCTAATAGCCAAGATAAGTATTAAATGCGTTTTGCCGACATGTATTTGGAAATATTTCTGGCGGATTTCGTGGTATTTCGTGTTTTTTTGGGAATTTCGCGGGATTTCGTGGAAATACCTGAATTTCGCTGGTCCGTGACCGCGCGAATTATCAGAAGCCCTGAATATTGACCTTTTTTGGAGAAAATGGTTGCAAAAGATGCTCTTAGATAAAGTGAATTTAATATGAAAAAAAGAATTGTTATTAAAATAGTTTTTCATTTTGGTAATACTGCAATGTTACTTTCAGTCCACGAAGGGGCAAAAAAATGTGGTCAAGAAGATTCATATTTTGAAAGACGGTCGAGGGCTTGGAGTGCAAATATCCATGAAGTTGAACCATGTTACTGGTGAAAAAGGTGTCTTTGTCAGTGATGTTAGCCCAGGGGGAGCTGCTGAAAGGTTAGCTATTAATAATAGTTTTTTGAAGGTTAAAGTGAGTTTGAGCTCAAGCTCAGTTATGCACCTTTTTTTTAAAGTCTGTTTTTTTTTAAAAAAAACCATTAAAATGTATCAAAAATTTGACACAATCGAGAGGAGAAGTCAATACATCATGTTGCCATGGTAGCAAAATTTGCGGATCCCAACAAACCATGGTCCTGCAGATATGGCAGATAAAAAAAATTGACATATAATGACTTTCCTGTGCGTGATTACACTCAGGAACAAAACGGTACTCGATTACTTTTCTTTTTTTGTTTGACAATGCAAATGACCGTCTCCGTCAAGAAATATCGTTGAGATCCAGAGATTTTGCTACCATGATAATGTAATGTTACTCTGCTCCTCTCTATATAATAGTATTTTGTAGACATGTTGTCAGTCTTAAGTATAGAAATACCTGGTGTACATGTAAGAGATGCAGACTGCACTCAGATTAGTTGTGCATTATATACACATATAGTTAGTTCGTCACACAATGCACCAAAAGGTGTTAGGTATTTCTAGCCACCTAAGATAAACAGCTGTTTTACAATATTAATTTGTTTGAAAACCAGGGCTGTCATTGAAACTTCAAGTTGCTTCAGGGGTAGATTATACAAGTAGGCGGGGAATCAAACAACTTGGGATTTTGTTTGGTTCTATTTTTCCTCTATTTCACTGCAAAAGTAGGCGGGGGTATCATTCATAATAGCTGGGGGAAATCCGCGGCCCCTGGTCCTAAATGACAGCCCTGAAAACAAAACTATTGTATAGTAGGTTAGTACCTTATAAATCACTGAGACACTTACGTTTCTGGTCATTTTAAGTGAAGTTGATATTGTGTGACAGTATTGTATTGTAGGGTGAAGGAGTTATAATCTGTCACATATTGCTTTAAGTTACTTCGTGGTAAACAATCAACAGTGAAAATGTTTTTGTTTATGATTTATTGGCTATTGTATTTTGGTCTCATGGCATAATTTGGTTTTAGGTTTGAGCATTATAATGGTTGACTAGTATTTATAATGGAACATTTATTTGTTTATTTATTTACAAATTGATATTTCGTTTCTCCTTTTATACTACTACATGAGAAATTTCTGCAATCTGATTGGCTTAGAGCAGTGGTATTTCAGCTTAATTTGAAATACCTACATGTGAAAATTACAAACCTTTTTCGGGTAGTAGTATAAACAAATAATAGCATGATTTGTACGTGATATTTGGCATAAATACCACTCATGATATTTCAAAATTGTCTCAAATTTCACTCGCCTAACGGCTCGTGAAATTACTTATAACAAATTCGAAATATCACTCGTGGTATTTATGCCAAATATCACTACAAATCATGCTATTACCTATACTAATTTTGGGAGTTCAGTTGGGTTAGATGCTTATAATAAATTAAATGAGCTAGTAACCTACGTAAAGGATTGAATCCTGTTTCAGGTTTTTATCATTTAGTTAAATGTGAGCGGAAACCCTTTGTGGCGTCATCAGTTTTAACGGTCAAGGACAACTTTCTTCGCTAACTTGTGCAGGGTGAAAAGATCTTTCAAACCATACCAGAATGATTGAATGTTGAAAATCTCCATGAAAATCTTGTTCCATTACCCACCTACCTTTCCTTTCACCTAATCCTAAGATCCTAAAAGCTTTCCTAAAAACTCTTCCCACCAAAATGAAGCCTACTAAAAGTGTGTCACTTTTAAACCCAAAAACTATGTCGAAATTTTGCTTTCTGCGCATGCCCGAACTTCGTAAGCTGATATTTTGCATCTGGATCAGAAGGCCGCCAAGTGTACGACCTGTAAACCGGTTTGTGGTAAGTTTTAGATTCAAAACGCGTTTTTCGGCAAAATCTCCAGGAGCGAATGGGTTAAAGTCTGTTTTAATTAAAATTTAATTAAAACAGACTTGTTGTTTAATGTTGCAGCCTTCGTCAAAAAGTGTATAGATATTTTAAGAGCGAGGGTTAGGGTCCATAGTTACTTTTTGAAGTAGAGTACCTGTAGAAAAAGAACAGAATTTCCAGGTGAGGGGGGATGGGGGATGGGCATTAACACTTTTGTAGTGGGTGTATGGATGTTTTTTTCATACAGTTGACTCTCAACAGTTTGAACCTTCAAGGGAAATAGAAAAAAATTCCAGTTATCAAGGGTAAAATTATATTGAAAATGATTTAAAGGGAAATGAAAATTGCTTTGGATTAGCAGGAGGTTCAAGTTATAGAGGGTTTGAGTCACTGGGAGTCAACTGTATTTTATATCATACATGTAAGATGCACTCTATCTGACTACACCTTGGTTTGACAGTGATTAGCTGATCTGCATGGTTGCATTTAGCCAAGGTCATTAATAAGGTCATGAATATCATTAAAGACTGTTAAGAGTATGCTCAATATATAATATGTTGTTTAAATAAGTGTTAACATTTTTTATGGTTTTATTTGACACTATCCTTTAAAACCAGTAAAAAACTCAGTAGTTTTCATTTGTTGACTGGCATTTATGTACATGTAGGGATGGTCGTCTCAAGGAAGGTGATGAGTTGTTATGGATTAATGGCCACAGCTTAATAGGTGTTACTCAACTGGAAGCTGTAGACTTGTTGCGTGCATCACCCAAACTTATACAGTTGGTCATTTCTACTCAGGTTAGTCATTGTTTACTAGTGATATAAAAAATAAATGATAAGTTAATGAAATAAATGGGCTGCAAAAACTTAAGTCTGAAAACAAAATAATATGTAATAATTTTTATAATAACTTCAAACTGTTAAATGAAGCCAGACCAGCTTTTATTTTTACTGAACAAAAAGAGACTAAGAGACTTAAGCTCTTGACCTTGGGTTTGGTGCCATAATCACTTGACCAATTTGCTACCTTCAGGGTTCATACAGGTCATGGAAAACCTGGAAAGTCATGGAATTTAAAAATTTCATTTTCCAGTTCTGGAAAGTCATGGAATTTTATTGTCGGTCCTTGAAACTCATGGAAAAGTTAATTTTTTGTTTGCTGCATAAGTTACTGCAGATGACAAAGCGAGGACAATGTGAGATAAAGAGGAAAAATTAGACAGCACAAACGGCATGCATTTTGCATTGGTAGACACCAGAGTTTGTGTCTGTTGAACTACTTAAGGTCCAAAGATACCCTAAAACAAGCCGGAAAGTTTTGAACATTTTGTGAAAGTGACAGCTAAACATAAGGTCATGGAAAACGTGAAAAGGTCGTGGAAAAAGTTCATGGAAAGTCATGGAATTTGAAGAGCTCAAAAGAATACGAACCCTGTGCCTTTCCATCCTGATATTAGGGCGGCTTTGCTTAATGACCACAATCAGGGGGAGGGTGCAGGGGGTGCTCACCCCCCCCCTGGATGACCTGCGGTTTTCTAATACAACTGGTATTCTGCAAAAAAAAAACTATGTGGTTTATTGGTGTTGAAGTAGAGCAAGAGACGAGTGCACCCCCTCCTAAGAAAAACACTGGATCCGCCCCTGACAATGGGGGCAAACACTTCTCTTAAAAAGTGAATTCACTCTGTTCCAAAATTCATAGAGCCTCTTATTCCATGTCATTCAATTTATCAAATGTTTGTGAATTTTTCTGGGTTTGAATTCTAAAGGACTGTATCTCATTTTAGATAAAAGAATTAGAAAATTGTTATCTCGTGTTCACGTCCTCAAAAAATCGTGAAATTAGAAAGTTTCATGTGACGATCAAAAAAGATGATATGCTACTCAGGTACCACCACCACCTAGAAAATAGCTCTAAGCTAATCTAGCTATAAAGCATATTATGCTTCTTCCCTGTTACTTTAGTCAGATACAGTGGAACCCCGTTAATAAAGTCACCAATGGGCCAAAAAAATTTGGCGGTGTTAACAGGAGGGGTTTTTTTACAAGAAAATGTATGGCGGTTTTTGCCAGGCAGCCAAAAAAAAGTTGTCGTAGTAATGAGGTGACCGTATTACCTAGGTGGCCGTGAGGCAGTGTTTCACTGTATTATTTAAAACAGAGAAAAAAGTCCAACCACATTTTCCTCTTCTCAAACCAAATTGATGACTTAGTAGGACATTAGTCCTTTTAGTAGGGCATTGGTCTTTATAGAGGTGATTTTGAAGTGGGATGTTGATCAGTGTTTTAGTTTGTTAGAGGCATATCAGTGCATTTTAGCAATACAAAGTATAGGTAATTTAAACATTATAAAATGGGAAACTGAATTTTACGACAATAAAAAATGAAAAAACATGTTAATTTCTGTAATTGGGATAGAAGTAATAATTTTTTCTTCCATTTCTGAGTTCTCAAATTTATCCTTCACGTAACCATTAATGGTTGTTGTGTTGCTCTCTTGATAGGGCGAAGTGCCTTCTGGTGGAAAGAAATTAACATCCAGAGCTAGGTCAGGATCACAGGAAAATGTTCATACAAATTCAAGAACAACTAAAACAGGCCAGCTAACCAAGCAACATCGAGCTGCCTCAACAGACAGTCTGATTAGCAAAAGCAGGAAAAAATCCCTGGATCAGATTACAACTAGAAATCCCAACAAACCTCTTGCAATATCTGTAAATGGCTCAAAAGACGTGACTCCTAAACAGAGGCAGGGAAGTGACCCTTTTAGGAAAGAGGATCATATTTTAGACATGGAAAATGTTAAAAAACTTAAAGAGATGCAGGAAGAGCCAAAGAAAAAACAAAACAATTTTCTGTTAAATGGAAGTGCTTCAAACATGGCCAATGGCCAGCGTCGGCTGTCAAGTACTTCATCTGAGAGTTCAAATGGAGGTTCAAAGTTCAATTCCGAGGATGTCTTATTATCAGACAGTGAACCAGTTACTCTTGAGGATAAGCCTCTTTCAAAGTCACCTGCAAATAGTTCATCTCCTAAAGCATCATCCTCCCCAGTTGTGCAGTCTGTAAAGAAAAGAAATATTCCAAGTCCCTTGTTAAACATTCCAAAAGGACAAGCTGGCTCTAATAAAACAGGCTTAGCTCCTGGTCAAATCTCACCCTCCCTTCCCCGACCTCAAAAACCAGGAGGCTTGGGTATCGCTTTCCCCGCGAGATACCTTGGGGAAGCCTCTCCCCAAATGACGACAGTTGGTGTTCCTACGCCAGTTAACATCGTCGGCAATAATGATCGTGACTCACCCCAGGCTAAGCGGAAAGTGAGTAATGATGCTGCGCATAGCAAAAGCAGTTCAAAAGGAATAGAAGAGGAGGTCATGACAATAGTCCTTGTGAAGGGGATGAGTGGTAAAGGCCTTGGATTTACTATTGTTGGAGGTAAGGGGTCCCCTCATGGTGACATGCCTGTTTATGTGAAGAGTATTCTTCCTGGAGGTGCAGCAGAAGCAGATGGCAGAATGAGAAGAGGTATGATAGAAATCTTTGGTGCCTTATATAACTTATAAAGATATATTTTTTATTTTGGTGTCTAGGGGTTTATATATAATAGACAAATGCTGCTGTTAATGATTTAAAAAAAAAAAGTAGATACAGGGCAGTACGTGTATAATGTTGGCTCCAAATATTTTCTCATTGCTTTCTACAAATTAATATTGTAATTTGGGTCAAATGTGACATGTTTTTTGATAACAAAATGATGGAAAAGAAAATATGTGGGTCATGTAACTAGTTAAATATAAGGAATGAAACGATTTTTTGTGTACCTATCCCTGGTCTAAGTGCAAGAACAAGTGGTTGCTCACAAGAGGTGGTTATGGGGAAAAATCAACAACAAAATAAGGTCAAACTGAATATGATTATGAATGTGATTACATGAATTATTATCTAACAAACTAAAACTGGCAAACAGAGAACTGGCAATAATGTTATGTATCGAATAGGGCTTGTTACTGTTGAAACTTTGTACATAACATTTGCATCAATGTTACAATCTACCTTTTTACCTCTGGGATTATAATTATTACAGCCCTCTTTTTTGTAATGATCTGTCAGCATGCTTGTTCAGCACTTTCTAAAACCGAACTTTTGTGACATTGGAGCAGTGGTTTTCATAATTATAATCATACGTGATCATGCTGGGTGGTCATTTATGAGAAACAGAAAACAAAAGAATATGTTGAATTTCTGGTGTAAAAAGAGGTCCCGGTTGTTTTTAAGGAATTTAAGTAGTGGTTGCTTATGAGAGAGTTTTTGAGACAGAATTTGACTGACAAACAAAACAGTTTTCCAAGTGGTCACTTACGGGAAGTGGTCGCTTATGAGAAGTAGTTGATATGAGAGAGTTGACTTATTTATTATTTTTTTATTATTGTTTCACTGTCCGTTTTTATACGTGTAGGTGATGAATTATTGTCAGTAAATGGAACATCTTTTGAAGATTTTACTCACCAGCAGGCCTTGGATACTTTCAAGGTAAACTCTGAATAAATGCTTTTAACTTTTCTATTATTAATTGTTGTGGTCAAAAATGATTAAAAGTACCAGTAACTTTATTCCCTGGAAACATAACAAATTGGTTCAGGAGAGCAAGATATTTGAGTGTAAGGTCCGTATCAGATGCCGATCTTTGCATTAGCTGAACCTAATATGTTGAATTATTAAAGTATATGAAAGGTCCCGTGTCTGAATCAGTTAGGTATGCCTATATATTCAATTTGGAACAGCTCAGCTGATCTTCACGCCTAGCCTGGCTGGGAATTCTGACTATGGAACGACTTTGGAAAGGCTTTGATTCAGACGCCGAACTTTTCATGTTTCGAACCTTATAATTATAATGTATTTTGCAAGCAGTTTGACCAGAATGAGCATTTTTCTCCTTTTGAATTTAGTTTGGCTGGAATTAAGATTGGTGTTTGAATCAACTCAGGCAGTCTAAATAGTTTGGGTCGGCCTTAATTCAATTAGGTTCGGCTCATGAAAAAATGGCGTCTGAAGCATGCCTAAGTACACTCAATATCTTTAACTGCAGCTAGCAAGGCTTGGTCTCCATATCCTTGGGTGTCAGGATACACCTGCAATTCTCCCATCAAAGCAAATTGAGACATATATGCCTCATGACCCATCCTCCAAACTACCCTATATTTATATTTTTATGAGGAAGAACTTGCCTTCAAATTTATTAAATAAGGAGTTTAAATCAACCACTGCTGTGTAATGCCCCCACAAGGTCACATGACTGAAGATCATACCTTAGTGGTAACACACACTACTAATAAGTCAAAAGAGTCTAATAAAAAAGTCTGTATGGTCTGGTTTCAACAAATTTTTACTTCACGTCTCCATTTTCGTTGTATATTATTGTTGTTCTCTAGGTTCCTTTTGGTTGAGGTTTTCTTTGATTTGGAAAAATAAGTCTAAGTTATTTTTGTTTTCCTTTGTATCAAAACTAGATTATGGTAATAGTTCTGAAACATTGGAAAATATTATCATAACAATATAATCCGAGCCCCATTTCCAGGTTTTAACAGGGCTAGTTGTTTTTGGCATGAGTGCAGAACTCATATTTACGAGAAACTGGGTTCATGAAGACCAAATATCTAAATTTCTGTTCAGACAAACACGGAATAAAACAAATGCAAGAATGCGCAAAAAATATAGCTTGATGGATGCTATCTGGTTTTTGAGAAAAAAAAATTGTCTGTTCATATTCTGAAAGCAAGTCAAAAAACAGGCAAAATGAAATGTTTGGAAGAAAGCCCATGAGGAGGCAAGAATGTTAAGATTTTTAATAAAACAATATTAGTGAATTAGCCTTTCAAATGTTATGATTTACATTAGGCTATTATCCACCTCGGCAACACTCTTTTTTGATCTGCATTATATAATTATTCTTCATATCATACTATACTCAGCCTCATTCACTGTTAGAGACTGTGTATTGTTATTATAATAAATTTGTGTTAATTACCCTGAAATGACTTAATTCTCCAAATAGGATGAAAGAGAACTAATAGTCTAGTATGTAAAGTTGGAGGTGAACAAGAGTATAGAACAGAATTATTGTTAGTATTTGTATGTGACAGAATACCTTTAATTTTTTGCACTAAACAAATGCACCTTTTTTTGAATGAAAAGTATGAATTTATGGCAGAACAGTAATAAATTTTTCATGAAATCCTTTTCCTAAACTATAGAGTAAGGTCAGGGTAAAGTTTGTTTTGTAAATGAATAATGTTTTTATTTTGTAATTTTGAAGTGAATTATTATATTTTATTCGCTTTTCTCTATTGAATTTTTGTGCTTCGTAATCACAACAGCTTTATTCTGTTTTGTTTGTTCCTGAAATAAAATAAAGAACCACCTCTTAAATAATTAGAATATAGAGCACTGGTGTGATATGGTACCAGAGTTTGAAACCAACAAAGATGTATTTGTAAAGATTTCTTCTAAGAATCGTTAACAAAAGCAGAACAAAATATTATGATAATGTTATTGCATGATAAGTTAAAAGCCCTGGGTTTTATTTTTCTTCTGAGGTGATACAATTTATTATCAAATTTTGAATAACTGTAAGTTACACCTGCCGCAGGGCCCATTGATCAAAGCAAACAAAGAAATTCATTCACACATGTCAGTCAAGCATAAAAACTAATCAGTGCTTATATCCACTGTTGTGTTGCATTCATGAATTTTGAGTATGAGGAGATGCATTAAACATTCACATAAATAGTCTTTATTGGTGAGTGAATTTACTGAAATAAATTTGCACCAGGCTAGCAGTAATCATTTTTGTTAAATGCTTAATGATCGTAAATTTTATTAAATTTTTTTTTCTAGTTTTAATTACTTGACAGGTGAAAAGTATAAATTATTTTGACCTTTGCTGTTGCAAATTTTAGTATTATTCTATTTTTTTGCAGACTATTCGCAGGGGAATTGTGACTTTAAAAGTAAGAAGAAATAGTGCTGGAGCACCTAGCTTGTCAACATTTACAACTCCTAGGAGTTCACCAGGAAGTTCTCGCCGTAACAGCAAAGATGTGACCGCAGAATCATCTAGCTCAAGCAATTCTTCTTCACCAACAATGTTTCGAAAGCTGCGTCAAAGGAGAAACAAGAAAGAAAAAAGCATCGAGCTTGTGTTGTATAAAGGTGTGATAATTAAACCAATACGACCGTTGTAATTTTATTGCTAGTACAGTATCATTTCATTATTACTCAGTTTAAAGCTGTGACGGTGTTTGATGATTTTCTAGTGAACCCTTTTTTAGTCTTAGCCCTCTAAATAAAAAGTAAAATTTCAATTTTTTTTGTAGAATACACGAACACATGAGCAAAATTTTGACTCAGCTGAGGGAACTTACAGATCATTCAATCCACATAATTGTTTTGATTTTTAAGTGATTCAGATAATTAATGACACTTTGTTATATAGGTTACATTATCATTGTAAAGCAATTATGGATGTGATGTATATGTTCTGTTGCAAATTACTATTTTTTCAATTGAAAATTACAAAATACCTCCAGAAAATGTTGTGTCATGCAATAGTCAATATCCAATACATAACAAAACCCAAAAAGAATTTAAAGAATGCAACAAAACATTTATTTTCTTACTTTTAATTAGTTAAAACAGATCTGAAATTCAATGCAAGTTAAGGCTGCGGGGAATGAGCTAATTATTATAGTGACTTCTGTCTATTATTTTAAAGGGGTCCTGTTATGGCTGAGGCATTCTAGGGTTGCGCAGTGGTGAGAGCACTTGCCTCCCACCAATGTGGCCAGGTTCGAATCCTGGTATTAACGGCATATTTGCGTTTAGTTTGTTGTTGGTTCTCTCCTTTGCTCCAAGAGGCTTTTTTTGCGTACTCCGTTTTTCTCCACTCCACCAAAACCAACATTTCTAAATGCTGATTCAACTATTTAAAGTATGGTAGACGAAGAACCACTGCGCGGATTTGCTACCTCTAAATCAATATTTATTTATTTATTTATTTATTGAAATAGGTTGCATTTACTTTGCTTTGCACCCCAATGGGAAACATCAGATCTCCTTAACCTAAGTGGCCAAATTATAAAAAAATTGACAAAAAGACTCATTTGTTTTCGTGAAATCCTGAGAGTATTTTTTCACTCCCCAATGATGCCATGGTTGGGTGAAAGCTCGGATTATGAAAAAATATTATTAAGTGGCTTAAGGCCTCCCTTTAGCTGTTTACTCTTTAGAAAAGAGTACTAACAGCTGTAGTGGTAGTTAACAATAATAAAATATCACAGGAACTAGGCTCTCCTTTTTCAGCACTTGTCACATCTTTAAGATAATGCTGGTTTGTTCTGCTTTGGGATCTAATGATATTATTAGCGAGTTTAAGCAAAGACTTTTTAGCAACACCATCAACCAGGAATGGACCTCTTGCATTCTTAGGCGATGTTATAGCCCAACATTTTGAGCAAATCATCCTAGCAAGACAAATTTAATATTGTCAAGGTATATAAAAATGGAAAAGGTGTCACTTCTGGTTGATGTGTGTGGCTCAAAAATACCTTTGCATAAGCTTCCTATTACCTCTTAGAGCTTCTGGTAAGTGTGTAGTGAAAAAAAAGTTAAAATTGATGACTTTTTCAGAGCCTGGAAGCAGCTTAGGAATTGGGCTGCGTGGAACAAATCCAGTATCCCAGCAACAAGGAAACTTTGTTCAGTGCATTTTAGAGGATTCCCCTGCAGCTCATGATGGAAGATTGAGGTGAATTGGACACAGATCTCAGAGCTGTTTATTATGAATACAGTCAAACTCTGTTCTTGGAGACACTGAGGGGAACACAGAAAGTGTCTGTATTAACCCTTTAAGCACCAATATCCACAAACAAATTCTCCAAACTGATTTCTATACATTTCCTATAAGAATTAGTCGGGCGAAATTGATAAAAGATCAGAGATTTTTCTCTTTGTGATCGTTTGATTAATTCTCATAGATGTTGCCCTTGACAGTCTATGGATATTGTTAGGAGAAAATTGATGTTGGTCACTATTGGGACTTAAAGGGTTAATGAGGTGTCTGTATTAAGGGGGCTGAATTAAGAGAAAATGTAAGGGGACAAAGGACACTGTCCATGATCATGAGTGAGGTGTCGGTATTAAGCGGGTGTCTGTAAAACAGGGTTTGATTGTATTAGGTGCGTTGAACTAATCTATGACAAACTTTTTGACATAACTTTTGTTGGTTTTAACCTAATGGCTACAAAACTTTGAGAAGAGCTACAGCTATCATTCAGGAATAATATGAAATAATAAATTTGTTTTACTGGTGGTTCAAATTTTTACAAAATTTGTTGAGATGCGATATCCTTGCAGAACTGTTGCTCGTTTCCCTCCAATTTATTTATAAGCCTATCCTGTTTTTAAACATAATTTTCCCTGCTATAATAAGCTCCTCAAAATGACCTTTTGAAATTTTCAAGCGGCAGAACTTATTTTCAGAGTTTTAGGCTATTGTGATATTATGAAAATTAATGAATATTTTTAAGTGAAAATAAATTGGTTCTTGGGGTTAAACTAACTACATTTTATGTGGTTTCTCACTTACAGATCTGGTGATCAACTCATTGAAATAAATGACCAAAAACTTGAAGGACTAACAGTTGAGAGGGTTTATGAAATTCTTGACAAAACTCCCCCTGGAAAAGTATACATTAAAGTATTACAGGGTGACACATCAGAAAAACTACCTCTGCAACTAAATGATGCCCTTTCAAAGCTTCAGAGCGAGCGACAAATACTTGATAAAAAGATGGCCAACAAGCCAAAGGGGACAGGAATGGCATCAAGACTTTCCGTTTCTTCGGGTGATTCTGGTGGTGAGCTGGGATTTTTTTTTATTATTGATCTCAGTTTTTATTATATCAGGTCAAAGAGGTAAAAGAGTATAAAATCCTTTTAATTAATTGCTTGAGAACCGTCTTTATAGTGTTTTAGGCTAAGCAAAGCTCTTGTGGTTATACTGTAAAAATACAGTGTCTAAATTTTGTGAGAGAATGTTAGTGTTGACTTAATAGACACTTGAGTTTTTGACATTTGAGAATGTTAGTGTTGACTTAATAGACACTTGAGTTTTTGACATCTTTTTTACGGTCGTTGTGGACAATGGGAAACTGTTGCCTTTTTATGGTCTTGATTCTCTCACAAACCATTCCTGATTGATCAACCCGAGAGATATTGCTCAGTTATTGTAAAAACTCTATTACATACAACAGAAATGAGGTCAAAATACGCAATCAGGAAAGATTCATTGTGACGTCAGAATTTAGACCAGGGCAAAATGGACTCCTTCTCAAAATGGACACCCAGAACTGGTCCCTACCATTCTCCGATCATCTCCTTTGACTCTCCACAAGGCAAAGACCTCAGCAAGAGAGAATAATAGGAAAAGAAAGAAAAACGCCGAGTCTAGCCCTTGGGATGTGCGAATTTCACAAAAGTTATTTTTAGACTAATTAATCTGAATTTAGTTTCCGGAGAGGTCCGCAAACCATTATTCAATGTTTCAAGAGAGATTCAGAGTAATGGGACGTTATGCTCTTTTGGTGCGTTGCCATTAAAATATTCTGCATTGTTTGCTTTGAGGCAGTCTCTTTGGCGTCGCAGGAATTAGACTTCCGTTTAAATACAACCTCTAAAAATAACTTTGGTGGATGTCACATATCCTGGTCACCGCCCTTAGATTCCCTCTATCTCAGTCTGTAAGAATCCTAGCTGGGTTCGAAAAAAGCCCCATGCCCTCCCACTGGACTTAACTCGTTTTCTCAAATTGTAAGCTTCCCTTTGTGCTTGCCTGTGAAATGCATAAAGAATTAAAGATGATGTTAGTTCTGCATACGTGATTTCTGAATTCTACCCTGAAAATTTCTTACTTGTTGTCTGATTTTTCAGAAAATGTAACAAACCTTTCCTCATCTTGTGAGCCTCTTATACCACTTTCCGCAGAACCAAACAAGAAAAACAAAGAGAAGGTAATACAAACTGAAGTCATTTTTCCCTCTGTGTTATCACAGGTCCTTGTACGTTTCAGACTGGGTAGCCTGTGAGGAAGTTCTCCGTTTATTGCTTGCGAAGCCCCACGCACTCGCGTCTCCTTTTGCTTGCTGCTCTCGCATGACTTCTCGCGATTCCCCTAATTACAGAGCTTGCTCGCAGGCTAAATCCTGATAAGGTAGTTGGTAAAAGCTTAGTAGCATTATCAGCCGGCTTATCTAAAGGTAATGCCCCCTTTGTCTCTGTTATCTAGCAGTGTTCAGGCGGGTGGTGATGAATTCTTCCAGAACATGTGATGTTGGTTGGAAGTAGTGAGCTTGCCGTTAGCTAATGGCTAATCAATTCCATTGCCTTGTATTTACGATCCGAAAAATCAAATTTCCTTTTTATTATGTCCATAAAATGATCCTTAGTTTCCATCATTGCCCTCGTTTGCCACTTTATTATCTCCAACCGTAAATACTGTTCTACATTGTTATCTCTTCTTTTTTTCCAGAAGCAAGCTCCTGATTTGGATGACGATGTTTTTACAGATGAAACAGGTATGCTATGTAGAAATAGGCTGTCGACTTACAGTGTAAGAACATGAATAACCTGACAAAACTACCGTGGAATCCCGATATTCGTATCCTCCTCTCTGTTAGTGCGGAAAGCGATAAGTCGGGGACAAACTTATGTTTGGCCGGGGAAGAGAAGTCAGTTTTGGGTCAAATCATCAGGAGGATCGAAAAACTGAGGGTTCGAAAAATGAAGTTTCCACTTTTGTAAGGACGACAGTAATATCGCTGATATGTTTAAGGCCTCAATAAGAGGGTCTGGTTTTGTAGAAAAGATCAGAGAGTAATGACCGCCTTTTCATCTTCATCATCGTCATCATCCTTCGACCACCGGAGTAAATGACCAGCAAACTGGAGAGCTAGTACAGACACCTCGCAAAGAAAAATGGCTGTATTCGTGGACTTCTTTTTACCAATTACATTTTTTCGGAGAAAAGGAAAATTATTTGCAGCCCTTCCTATAAAATGATACCCTGAGTACCTGAGGTTTTTTCTTGGGCGGCGGATACTTCCGAGGAGGCTTACGCATGTGCGGTCGAAGGCCGAACCAACAAGCGGCCAAGCGGCGGGAAAAAACTTTGGCAAAGAACGCTTTGGTTTACATGTTATCTAATGTGCCGAATTGGCCCTCACCTTTCCACTAAACTGTAACTCAAGTGTTTCGATCACGCGTCCACTGTGATTGTCACCCAATCAGTGCTTGATACCTGTGACATTCCCTGGGATGAAATGTTCGGCCTTTATTTCCGAGATAACCTACTGAATGCCCCACCGCCATTGTGCAACCCTTTGTATGTAAACTGAATACAGAAAACATATCGCGCTAGGATGATCCGCGCTTCTAGGATCTTTCTGCTTCTAGGATCTTCCCCCTCAGCTCCATGTAAACAGCCTTTTAGACATGAAACTCTTCTCCCCATTTTTAAAAATGTATGGAAGAGGACCCAGATATAGCATACCCGACACCATTTTTCATTTCAGATAACGATGAATACGTTGAGGACATATATACTGTTATAAAACCAGCGACAGGTTAGCGTGGTGACTTTGAAATTTCATTATTACAGTGATGTTACGTATAAGCTGCCAGTTTCAGTCATTTCAACTTATTTTGGGTTACCATATATTGTTTTCTTTTCCGTTAAAAAATTCTTATGTAAACTTATGAGCCTTTCTTTGGCTCGAAGCATCTTTGTCTGCCATTAGGGGCATAGTTTTATACTCTTTTGGCGAGAATCCCGCCAGGCGGTGGCCTGGTTACTAAAATAGAGGCCGTTAGATTCGAGGACGAGATTTTACTTTTTTCGCGTATTCTCAAAAACTACACATCCCGGAAAGCTTCATTGTACGGTTTTTTCCCGGAAAAGTTAGCACCATTATTTTTATTAAAGGAAGTTAAGCCCTCTCCCGATAGCAAAATGATAAAACTTCCAACATTTGATGACTTGTTCCCATCACTACAACATTCTCACTAAAACTCGTGGTAGAATGTCGACAGCTATTACGTTTTCCCGCCAAAATGAAGCTGGTTCACGCGAGCGCACTACTTAGTATTGAGAAAATCTTGTTGTCATAAGCGTCTTAGAATCTAAAGCTCTCTGTTCAAGTAAGCTAGGGAAAGTTGTCGTGCTCACTCTTGTGTTTTGTCTTGTCTTACGTTCTATCAGGTGGGCTTGGCATGGGAGTCACAATTGACAAGTCTCGAGGGAATACTATTGCTGAGTGCGTGTCAATCAAGACTGTCACCGAAGGAGGAGCGGCTGCCCTGGCAACAAGCCCCAGGGGAGTAGGGTTGAAGTTAGGTAAGATTCATCTCAAAAAATGGCGGACATGAGCCGTTGCGTGATCAAAGGAGTCTTGTCCGCCAACTGATCGGTTTCGTAAAAATGTGTAGGGATTTGGACATGGAAATTAAACAGTGAATATCTTTCAGAGAAAAGAGAAAGCAAAAATGTGCAAGTATGGCTTGAGAGGCTGATGTATAATGATGCAAATTATACAAGCATCATGATAAAGTGAGCTATAGATTCTTAAGACTTGGAGCGCCGATTAATTCGTTCCGGTCTTGTATTGCATTCGGTCGAAGCGGGAAGAATCATAGTTTAAGAACTGAGAATAACGACAAAGTATAAAGTGTGATGGAAATAATGTGCAACTGTAAACATAACAAAACCATGCTTTAAACTAACTCACTAAATCTTTGGTAAGCTGTGTACTTTACCTTTCAACTGTGTTTGCTCTGGTTGAAAAATCTACACAGATGCAATCTCAGTACACTAGAATCTCAGGCTAAAATCCCAAAAATACGCCGAGTTCTAGAAGCGTTTCTTGACATTTGGTGTCTCAAATGCCCGTAAAAGTCCGGCATTGTTCCAACTTTCGTTTTGCCAGACTTTCAGTCAGCGGCTTTTATTTGACCACAAACTACTGTATATTTCACTACTCCGTGTGTCGTAAACATTTGTGCCCGGGAATCATTGTCAGATCCAGTGGTAACGACTATTGCTTGGGTAGAGACGTAATGTAACCACCATAACCATAGCTTGCTACCCTGAACATAAGTCACACAAAATTCGATGTCCAAGATTTTAACCGTAATCTGTGTTTTATGCATACGCTTGAAGGGCAAACGAAACAGAATGGGACTTTCTTGGGCCAGTATATATTAATTGATTTCCATCAACTTCAATATCATTTAAGTTTCCTGATAGAACCAAGGTATTTGGTTCGGTTTTCTGCGCAAAACGGGAGCTGAGCGTTGTTTTCTTTAGTTCGTGCCTTCAACTTGATAAGTACTGCCCTGGAGAGAGTTCTTGTATGAAAACTATATACCAAGGGACTCGGGTATAGTGTTGATTGGGAAGCTGGAAGAGCTTGTATCGAGAACCTTCATTCCGCTTTAAAGACGTCAGCTTCTTTATCAAGGTTTAAACCTTCCTTTGTTACTTTCCTCAGGGGATCAAATTATTGAAGTAAATGGTACGTATTTGCGAGGAATGGACCAAGAAGATGTCATTAAGATATTCAAAGATTTACCGAGCACAACACAGATGAAAATCAGGAGATCAAGAACAGTACCTGAGCAGGCTCCTCCTACGAAAGTACCAGAAAGGAAGAAGGAAACTTCCCCAAAAAATCCCCCTCATGAACCTGCGCCTCTGCCCAAACCTCCTGAGAATAGACGGAGGTCAAGCTTGAGAAATAAGGGACAGTCTGTTAAACCAGAATTGCAAGAAGAACAACCTGTTAAACCGGATGTACAAAGTAACCCTGTTAAACAAGAAATGCAGAACGGGAAACTTGGTAAACATGAAATCCCAGATAGAAAAACTGCTCAACAAGAAATGAATAATGGTGAACGTCTATATACTGCAAAAGTGGATGGTGTTTCATCTTCCAAGCATCAAAATGTTAAACCCGAAGACGATTCTCGCAAGAAAGGATCTCTTTCACATGAATTAAAACAGAATGAAATAAGAACGATACAGGAAACGAAAATTAAATCGGATGTTCCTTCCTCGACCAGAAATACGTCGAACACCAACCCCGATGTAACTCACGCAAAATCTGTCAAATTAACAAATGAACTGGGAGATAATTTAATTATTCCAAGCGGTTTCAGGAAAATAACTGTGAGTATAAAGAAAGGAGGTAACTCAACGCTTGGGATTTCCTTGGTGCCGAGTTATGGAAAATTGAAAGGGTACTTTCAGGTATGTTGGCTTTCAATTCGTGTTATTTTTTTGTCCTTATTATTTTGAAGAAGCTCTGAAGTCCCTAACCTATCCCAGACCTTTTATTTCCTATTCTTGACAACCCAATGCGCTTCCTAGTAAGTGATACCATTTCCACACCATGCAAACCTATCTGCGACCTGGGCTGAGTGGCCTCCTATGAAGCCATTTTTAGGTTAGCTTATTACTATGTTTAGTTTCATAAACGAATGTATGGAAGCCTTGAGAAATTACTGTTTGAAAACCGCTTGCATGCAGTGGCGTCTGTTTAATCGGTAAAGTACACCCGTACTCGCCCCCACCCTCGGCCACCCACCAACAAAATTTTTCATCGGCTTTTTTCACCATACTGGAAACCACGTTTGTAACTAGTCAAGGTTGCTCCCCTCCCACCCATCGTCATTCATGTGAAATCACTGCTGTAAAAAAAATCCTCCCCACCTCCGCCTCTCCCCACCCTGTGCTGTCTGACTTTTAACCATAAAAACAAAAATCCTGTTGAGCACAAACGCCGCAGTAATTTTCAAGGAGTTATAATAACTCCTCTAGTGGGGTAGGAGTTTAACGAACTCTTTTTCAGGAGTGAAAAACACCCCAGATATTAAGGAGTTAAAATAACCCCCAAAAAGGAGTTATCCCTGTACCTAAATTTTTCACTCCACTTTCAGAGTTAAAGTAACTCCAAAAAGAATAAAAATAACCCATGTAAGGACTACAAATAACCCCATTTTGGGAGTTATTTTAACTCTAGACTGGGAGTTAAGAGAACTCTTTTCCAGGAGTAAAAATGACCCAAATTTGGAGTTAAATTAGGAGTTACAGTAACCCCCAAAAGGGGTTATCCTGTACCTAAAATTTTTACTCCATTTTTGGAGTTATAATAACTCCGTAAAAATTAATGTGTGGATATGGAGAACACCTTGGCATTGAGCAAAGCGAATGCCTAGACTGTGGGTAGTCTCTTTTTATTCAGCGCAGTAGAGACTCGGTAGGACTGGAGAGTTTTAATTAGCCAAGAGGAGAACTTAACAGTTCTCTCGCCTCAGTCCCCCAGAGTCTCGATTCGACAGAGTGAAAAGGGAATGTTGGACTTGACCAGTCTCAGTCTCGTGACTGAAAAGGGAATACCCGCATTTTACGCCATTGCAGTACTCTAACAGACAGTTGCACTCAGAGTGTATCGCCCTGTGTTGTCTTACTTCGCAGATTCGTAGATTACTGTCTGGTATGGTGTGTGCACAGGATGGCCAGCTTCAAATAGGTGACAGACTTGTTTCTGTTAACGGGGTGTCTTTGAAAGGCATAACGCATTCAATGGCGTTACAGTTGCTAAAGAAACCAATGGAAATCGTCACATTTGTTATATTACGAGAAGGTTTGGCAAAGGACGAGGAAATAACCAGTGCCTCTACTAATACGGAAAAGGATTCCACCATTCAAGCTTCTACAGCTACGCAAGTCAAGAGTAGGTTTCCTGAGTCTAAAGGTAGTCCTTCCGCTGACAGTTCCTTATTGTCGCCAGTCAGTTTTGAATCTCAGCGTGATGAATTTCTTCTCAATTCTGTACCCTCACACAACAGTAGTATTACTGAAAGACAGGAACAGATACAAATGGACAATTTACAGGAGTTGCACGATGTTTCCCACTCGGATGCGTCTTTAGAGACTGGAAAAAATAGGGAATCTGCAAACAAATCAGATGAAATTGAGTTAGGAAGCGATGAAGATGAGACAGTGTTAGGGAATCCTCCAGCTTTGCCTTGTTCACCGCCACCTCCACCTCTTTTAGATGCAGACGAATTTTTAGATCAACATTTCTCCACCTCTTCTCCTGTGCCACCGTTTTCGCCCCCACCACCTCCCCCTGAAGGAGATGTGGTTTCATGTGAAGACGAACTGCAGATGTCGTCTATTCGCGTTGTTTCTCCACCTCCTGAACTTAGCCCAAGAATGAAGGAATTAATTGAACAGGATCTTTTTAGCACTGAAGTTTACCAAGAAACAAGTGATGTAGAGTCTACTCGTAATGATGAGGCGTTCTTGGATACCTCTTCTTTTGTTAACCAAACTGACGCTTTGGGTTTGAATATGAAAACCAAAGATGATACTTTGACCTCAGAGCATGCGCTCATCACGGAGTCGCCGTTGTCATCAACAAATTTACTGGCGTCACCTTTGTCTACCTTGCCTTTCTTTGAGATTGAAAAAGATAAACAGCCCGCCATCAATGGTATTGCTACACCATCTCGTGTAGTGGGTGTTGATAATGACTTGTCATTAGGGCACTCGGTGAACACGGCTCCGATTTCTGGACGTGAAAGTAGAGATAAAAAGTTGGAGGAAAGGCATCCAGAGGAGGATATTACAAGCTCAGTATTACCATTCGATGTTGAAGACGCTGAAAGAGCCGACACTGCTAAGCCAGTAGAAGGGAGGCGAGTTGAAAATGTCCCATTTGTTATCACATACCAAAGAAAGTTTCGGGGCCTGGGTGTCAAAGTGGATTTGTCAGGTGAAAGAAAAGTTCTGGTCACTGAAGTGTCATCGTTTGGAATGGTTGGAAGAGATGGAAATATCAGGTACCGTCACAAAAAAAAAAGATTAGCTTGAGAAAACTGCCAACACTTCGCGACACCACGATTGGTTTACTCGCGAAATGACGTCTGAGAAACGGGCGCAGAAATTCCATACTGATGACGCGTCAGTAGTGGCGCGTCATCAGTGTGGAATTTCTGCGCTAGTTTCTCAGACGTCATTTCGCGAGTAAACCAGTGGTGGTGTTACGAAATGTTGGCGGTTTTCTCAGGCTAAAAAGAGAGAAGTGTCCTAAGTTTCAGGGGTACCATATTTATTCGTTTAAACGTAGCCGGCGTACAAACGTCTCCTACTACAAAGGAAATAGGACACGTAGGTTAGTTTAAACGCCGCGGCGTTGATAAACTATAAGTTTTTCCGATGTGGCGTTTATTCAAGGGCGGTGTTTACTTCAAAATCACGTTTCTTAAATCACCGACAACAATTGCGGTAAATCATTTGTAAATATTATGAAAAACCGTAAGATGTTTAAAGTTGTCTAGATGATGTAGATTACAAAGCTGTAACGAGTACAGTTTTTGTTTAAAATCCCCAAATTAACGCGGAGTTTATTCGAGGGCGGCAGTTATTGGTAATCTTGCTTCCTTCTGCGGCATTAATGAGTAAATACGGGAAAACGTTGATATGGGATTACGTTCCTAGATCGAAGTTTATCATCTTGTGTTCCCTGAGAACAGTTATCATAGATAGATAAAAAAGTGAGTAAACACTCAAATTTGTGCACGCCAAAGGGCAACAGCACAAGATCTAAGCTCCGAATCCTGTTTAACCTTCTTACTCGACCCACGGTATTAGAACTACTGAACCCCCTTCACAGTTTCGACAAGTTTAATGAACTTTCTATTTGGCAAAATATCAAAGGCAATGTAGCACGCTATGAAAAACTGCTTATTATATTTTCCTGTTAAATCACTTAAGATTTTTTGTAAAAAAAGCAATTGCACCAGTTATTCGCAGGTTAAGTTATTAATTTCTGCTACGTTTCATTAGAAAGTGTAAGGATTTTTCTTGAAATTGGCTTCAGTAATCGGGCCTCCGCGGCCGTATTTTTATCACTTACTATTCTATCGTGACGAAGAAATCGTTGAAGTTACGTTTCATACATTCCAAGTACTGAGGTTTACTTGTTTCTGTTATCTGAATGTCGCATATTTTACATCCTAGAGTTGGAGATATGCTTCTGTCCATCGGTGACACGCCACTGGAAGGACTCGACATTGAAGTTGTTCAAGACATTATCAAAAACTGCCCGAGAGGAGATGTCAGAATTGTAGCCCGGGCAGGACAAAAATCTCGATCTGATGCTGATGAAGACTTCGTAGGTGACGATGAAGTGTCTATTTCAAAACTTAAAGTGGAACAAGAATATCAACCTGACTCGCTGCTAGACAACACATTCCTGAAGACGCAGGTGGAGTTACCAAGGGAACTAGTCTTGCAAGAAACTCCACACCTAGGCAGTAAAATATTTTCAAACGCGGCTTCCTCTCGGAGTACGGATGAGACGTTAACACATGGTATCACACCCCAGCGAAATATGGAAGTGGTTGAAGCACAGGACAGTGAATCTGCCGTGGAAAACAGTGATTTGGAAGTGTCTGAGTGTGATGATCTTCCTCCATCCGTCCCACCACCCCCAGTTCCGGTAAACGACATGCAGTTGGAAGGCTCCTCGCTGATTGTAGATGAGCCTGTCCTTGACAACGACGTGGAAGACATTTCTTTGCGCCCTCCGTCATTTTATAATGATGCCTTTGTTGATAATCAAGGTGTCAATTTGCCAGTGCTCGATGATTCTGAGGAAGAGGATGCTCAATTGAGGTCAACACAGGTTTCTCCTGTCATTCCTGTGGTTTCTGAGCCTGTCAATAAGTTAAGTTCGCCGGTCAACAAGGAAGCGTTCCACGTTGCAGAATTATCACCCCGATTTCAGCAACAGCCTGTAATGCCGCCTGAAGAGACTCAGCCTCAGGTTCCAGTTAGACCCCCTAGTTTGTTTGGAGATGATACTGAAAGCACATCAGGGGCCTCTCCGTCAAAACCCGAACAAACGGCGCTTTATGACGATGCTCCTGAGGGTGGAGAACCGATTATCACAATCAGACCACCAAGTTTGTTTAACGATGACCTTGAGAGTCTGCCGCCCAAGCCACCAAGTTTATTTGACGATGACCTTCAAAGCCTCCCAGGGTCGTCCCGTACCCCTTCCCCACTAAGAGCAGAGAGTCAGTGCAGTGTTAACTATGAAGTAGACACAGTTTCTTCAAACTCTTCCGCAACAAGTCAGTCGCCTTGGTTTAAACGAAAATCTCCCAAACAAGCAAGGAAGGTTCAGCAATTAAATATCACTCTATCAGGATCAGAACTCAGATCGTCTTCTCCTTCTTTCAGCGGCACCGTCTCTGCAGTAGATGTTGATGATCAACGTAGTGGTGAGTCAATTGAACCAGAAGATGTCCAGGATGATGATATGGCCAGCCTACCACCCGCTCCTCCGCCCCCAAGGTCACCAGTCAATAGGTCTGCAAGTTGGTCTGTCAGAGCTTCTGATACAAAGCCGCATGGACATCACGAAATGCCTTACATCAGTAGCCCCCTTCCAGCACCAACCAAGCCAGAACGGAAGAATTCCAAGAAAAGGATATTACCTTTACGAATAAGGTCAAAGAAGGGTCGGAAATCTTCTGACGAGGCTGACCAGCATGGTGATGATCACAATAACGCCCTAACTCAGTCAGTCCAAGTAGGGTTTGACGATCATTCACAATCAGTGACACATGTTGAGCCGCCCGAAGATGACATGGAAAGCTTGCCACCTGCTCCCCCGCCACCTAGAATGTCACCTTTGACTGTGCAGAGTTTAGAAAATTTTGTTGATGGATTTCAACCAACGAACGTCCCGGAACAAAAACGTCTTTTATCTCAGTTGGAGGAGCAAAGTGCCGGAATTTCAACTGATGGAGCTGTTTCCCGTTCATCCCCTAGTCCAAAAAAGAAGAAATCATTTCGTAAACATTTTGTACAGACAGATTACAAGGAATCCTTTTCTGAATCGTCAAACCAATCATCCGTTCCATCTGTGCCTGTCCTGAAGGCTGCGGTGGACACCTCAGTTAAGCAACTGAGTCCACAAGAAGATGCTGCTGTCACTGAATCTTCGGATGCAATGTCACCTCCTCCTCTGCCCCCTGAAATGGAGCTGTGGTCAGAGGCTGGATCGGCAGAAGCTGAGCTTGCTCTGCTGGACCAAATATTAAGCTTAGAAGACTCGTCCAGGTCAGGAAATGAGCAAAGTAGCGAAGGTGGCAGCCCGAATTCATCTAAACGTGCACCATTATCAGAAATTGTCCGGGAGGAATCACCCACTAGAGAGGTGCAGGACGCGCCAACAATTTCTAAATTTCAAGAAGCAAATAACGAAAGGGAACCATTAGAGAACACCTTCGCGGCAGTCACTCTTACAGCATCACCACCAGTGCATACAGACTTGCCCGAGGGCTCCCTTCCCCAAAGTGATGTCGCCGACAGTTCTGATTCTGGAGCTGTTGCTGTTGATTCTAGCAGTTCTTTAGCTAATGAAAAGTCACGTCAAGGTTTGCCTGGTAGGTTATCAAAACAGCAGAGTGAAGATCGTGACAGTGTGAAGGTGATCAAGCAAAGAAGGCCAGCCCCACCTGTTCCTACAGCCCCTCGGGCCCAGAATAAAACTGGTAGCGTTTCTAGGAAACCATTTCCACCAGGTTTAGGCGTAGAAGTACTTCCTTCTATGCCTCACATCAACCCTAAAGCTGCTCCTTCATCACAGCAGCCTGTACCCAGTCATCAGAAAGAGCAGAAGATAACCTCGCCATCTAAGGAAAAGAAAAAGCTGTTCTCTAAAAGCCATAAAAACAAGCAGAAGCAACCGGATTATCTCGAGTCACCAGACACATCATTTGATGAAAAGCCAGCTGGACGTGAACGATCGCGGTCGTGGACTCAGAAACTCTTCGGGTTTCGCAGTAGAAGCAAGAGTCGGGACAAAGTTAAAGAGCGCGGGGATAGGGGTCGTCAAGGTGACAGGAGTCGATCAGTGTCACCCCCAAGAGGACTATTTTCCAAATCGAAGAGATCTTCTTTACCACGATCCACGCCACCTTTACCTCCCCCCTCGGTGAAGAAGGTGTCCGTAATGAAAGATGAAGTTCAGAGCGAACTAGGCGAGGATGGAAGTGAGCATTATGAGACTGTAGAAAAGAGAGGTAGAGCCTTACATCCACAAACGTCTTTGGAGCTGAATAAGCATCCGTTGCCGTCTGAAGAAAACAACAACAAATCCGAAATGTCAGCTGAAGATGATTCTGTTCGTCATACTGAAGACGATCATGTAGCAAATGCCGAAGTGTACATTTACGATGTAGTCTCAAGAGAGCCAGCTGAATCTTACCAAACTGAAGGAGAAAATCATCGTTTTGCTCAAGAAGGAAATGCCTTGTATGATATTGAAAAAGAGACGACGGGCTTTGCAGTGGAATGTGAAGTTGAGGCGGACCCTTCTGTTAATTCTGACCTGGATACATCAAAACCAACTAAACCACTCCCAATACCTCCTGTCAGGACCCGTGATGAAACTAGCCGTGTTAACGAGGACGAGAAAGATAACGTTGCCGATGAGTTGCTAAAAAAACTGATTTCCAAACCGTCCGTACCAAGGAAGCCATTGTTGTTTAAATTGGATAGCAAACCAGACAATCAACAACAGAGAACTGTAGAAGAACTAAAACAAAACTTCAACGCTCCTTCTTCTGATGCTGAAGGAATAGAAGGAGCACCCAACACCTCGGAGAAACTCGGATTTGAGATACATGATTTAGAAATACAAGGGCCCTTAAATAGTAATGAGAATCCGCCGTCTCCAGGCCCTCCGAAGTTTAAACCTGTGCCACCACCCTTGGTGTTACATGGAAATGCGAATCTGAGGCAAATGGATGATAGAAAGCCTGCTTGTCCGAACTCCCCTGGGCCTCCAAAGTTTAAACCTGTTCCACCTCCGTTATCGTTGAAGACAAACACGATGTCAAGTGCTGAACGAAACGAAGAAGCATCTACTTATCTTAACTCTCCAGGTCCTCCGCGATTTAAACCAGAGCCCCCTCCTCTGCACTTGAAAAACGACACTAAGGATCGTCCCAGTTGGCCTGATCAACCGCATTTCAAACCGTTACCTCCACTTCCCGTATCTGCCACAATAAGTACGAGCTTAGATGACGACAATAAAATACGGGAAACCCTTGGTCAGGATATTCCTGTGAAAAACAACGAAGTGCCTGGATTACAGATTGTCACGAAAAGGCAAATGAAGCCGTTACCTCCCGTACCCACTGGTTTTGCTCTTAAGACAGAGAATAATACGGATGCTTCCAAGCTTTCCTTATCAAGGCAAGATGCTCAAGATGAGTACGATACTGAAGCTGACATCAAGCTGGGTACTTCGCAATACCAATCAGAGTTTTCACAGACTGACTACAAAGACGAAAATGCAAACTTTCAAATAGGAGAGCCATTGATTGCGCAACATCTCTCTGATCCTCTCAAAACATCTAACAGTGACGACCTAGAGAGCTCAGACTTCTCGTCTGAATGGGACGAAACATGTAGTTCAACTCAAGAAGATCATGGCTTGCCTATGCATGGTATCAAGGTCGCGCGAAGTGCTAGTTTCTCGGCTGGGGACCACCATGTTGAGCAGGAAAAGTTTCTAGACAACCCGAAAACTCCCGCCTCTGTTAGCTTCAAACGTCCTCCGCCGCCGATGCGAAGGCGATCATCCTCTCTACCTCAATTGTTCCTAGACTCGGACCCCTCCAAAGCGAGATCCGATGCGAGAAATTACTGGCATACTGGAAACCTACAGGAACTGATCAACAGTAGGAATCAGGAGCCTGACGTAGATGAAGGGATCATCGAGGTGCAGGTAGGCGAAAGGAACTTTGTTTTTTCAAATTATGGAGAACTAGTTTTTATTGACAAATTATCGCCAAACTATAATAAGGAGCTGAAGGAAAGACCTTTTTCAGCGACGTACGTCAAGCGAAAGTGAGGCGTTCTCCCTGTTAATACGCCGCTACCAAACTTGTATTGCTAAGTGTCTTTACTCTTGTGGACACGGTTTGCCCAGCCTGTTCACAGACCCTCTATTTTCTCTTTAAAGTCCGTCGAGTGCGCGTGATAAAAAATGAAAACCGCGGGGGATTTATTGACTGCCAGCGCAAGGGGGTAGGGGTGGGGGAAGAAGAAAATTAGTTACTTTTCCTTCTCGAGCTCTGCGCTGGTTATTGCGCGCTCGCCAATGTTTTCAAAAAGAACAAAAAGAAAAATAAAACAACGTCTCCCTGTGTACAGATTATGCTTTGCCCGAAAATTTGAGCAAAACCACTGCCCAAGAATGCAACAATTCCACTTTCGGTTTGTGTGCATCGCTCAAAAAGGTCTTTTGTTAAGCTCCCTGATGTAGAGCATAGACAATGAAAATAAATGTAAAAAGTACGTCGGCGATAACGTGCGATATTATAAAGTTGAAAGTGGATTTTAGAAAAATGTGGCAACGTCTTGACCGTTTTTTGTTTTATCAGCGCAAATATCGTTAGCTCTTTTATCAATTCTGGTGTCGAGCAATCTACATAAAAACTTCAGGAGTATTTGTGTTTATGTTCTGACTCGATTATTTCAGTCCACAAAATAAGAAGTTGGGTTTATCACTTAACATAAAGTATACATTAAAACACTGCTTAGTGGCCTACATTTGTATGACTTAGGTTGCCCCTGGCCCAGGGTAGGAAATATTATCCAGGTAGTAATTTCCTTTAAAGGGGGATTCATCCAAGTATTTCTAGTAACCTATGTTGATCGGTGTTCATACATTGCAGCTTCTGAAAGAACAGCAATCGATAGGCCTCATGGTTGTTGGTGGGCTAGACACCCACCTTGGTATGCTTTACATCAAGGATATTACACCTAACTCTCCAGCCGCCAATTGCAACCGTTTAAGAATTGGGGACCAGCTGTTACAGGTGAATGATAACTGCCTTGTAGGAGTGACTCATGGTGAGGCGTTGAACATTCTAAAGAACACACCACCGTTGGTCAAACTCACGTTGGCAAGGAAGCAAAACGGCGACAGTAATGTTCTTGAACTGGAAGCCGAACGAAGGCGAATTTCAGATTTTGAAGAACCAATAGTAAATCAAGCCCGTCAGTCCAGCACAGTTTCAAAGACCTCGCAAGAATTGTCCTTCAGCCCACCACCTGAGAGAGGCCAACGCCCCAAGTCAGTCATTAGCATGTCTTCATTTGGCTCCCCTCTCAGTGATGATCTGTCTCCCACCGCGTCTCTGTATGGCTCATTTGACGAGCCCGAGGAGTACGTCCCTGCTTATCTGGAGCGTGAGAGTCCAACTCTCAACTTACGTCAAGATGATGTACCGGTGACTGTCATTGATGGCATTCCAGGCGAAGACAGTGATGCCACAGAAGAGGAGGAGCCCAAGTCTGTCAGTAAGAGCGTGAGCTGGGCTGTTAGTGACGCACAAAGTGAGGTGTTTACTGTAGAAATCCTGAAAAATGGTCGCGTTGGACTAGGGATGAGCGTTAGCGGTGGAGTTGACACACCTTACGATGACATCATGGTGAGCATCTCCTAATCCTTTAAGCCCCAATATCCACATGCAAATTCTCCAGGCTGATCTGCATACTTTTTTTAAACAGTTGGGTGGGAGGATTTGATAAAAGATCAAGGATTTTCCCTTTGGTGATCATTTTATGAAATTATCATTACCTTTTCTCTAGACAGTAGATGATGTATGGATATTGACTCTTAGGACTGGAGATGTTCTCGTTATTCCTTAGTTCAGTCCTCTGCTGATCTCAGTCAACTATTCTTTTACTTGGGTTTCTTAGAGAAGCTATGCCACAAGGATGGTACAGTTTTAGGTCAATTCCGTGCTGAGGTCATTTCTTAGTGCCCTTAACCATACGCAAAATGCTCCTACAGAGATATGAAGCAGACATCAAACAACACTCGTCATGGAGCACTAACCATAATAATTGTTTTGGTGATTTTGCTGGCATAGCATTAAAACTTGAAAACGTTGGGTTAATGTTTTCACGAATCCATGTCCATCTTTGCCATCCATCGCGAGAGGCAGCATGAAACAGTTTCGATGCCTAAATATAGCCTGAAATAACAAAACTGGAACATTATTTTTGGGATTCATTGATGCGAAGACAAGTATTGGCTTTTTGAAAAGATAGCAAATAGCGTGACGTGGCCCCTTTACCTTCGTTATATTTGTTTCAGCCATTTGCTCTGCACCACTTGCCTTTGGGCTATAAATACTGTCTTTGGTAAATAATTGTTCTTTTTTATTGTGTTATTTATTTATTATTTTGTTTTCAGGTTCGTCAGATCCTGTCAAATAGCGTGACAGCTCAAAATGGACTCATCAAGAAAGGTGACATCCTTCTGTCTGTTAACGGCAAGTCGTTTAAAGGATTAACAAACACGGAAGCCTTAACTCTTCTTAAAAACACCACCGATCGGGTCACACTTGTCGTTTGCCGACCAGTGGGATCTAAACACCACGGGAGATTGGCTGCTAACGGGGAGATCTTCTCAGACTCAGATGCTTGGCCAACAAAAGAGGAGATGACCAAGAAAAAGAACTTGGCAAATACAACGAACAGCACACTGCCGACTCTTGAAAAAATACCACTGGATCTCACTAAACAGAATGGAGAGAGCTCCACGTATGATCGCCTTAAGAAGAGATTATTCTCTAACGGTGGTTCCAAGAGTTTGAAGGAAAGGCTTCAAAAGGCTCCTCAGGGACCCTACGTGACTGAGATCACTTTGGAAAAGGGGGCCTCTGGATTAGGGTTCTCTCTGGGTGGGGGCCAGGACTCGCTGTATGGCGATGCCCCTATTCATGTGCGCTACGTGTTTAAAGACAGTGTCGCAGGCAGGAGTGGAAAACTGAAACCCGGAGATGAGATATTAGAAGTTAATGGACAGCGAGTGGCATATATGACGAGCGTGGACGCCCTTGAACTGATCAGAAGATTACCTTATGGACCGGTGGTAATGAAGATACGTCGGAAATAGCACTGAATCTGAAATGAAAGATTGTTAGTACTTTAGGTTAATTACGTTTCCAGGGGAAAAATGGTTTTCCTGGATGGCAATTGAATGTGATTGGATTGGGTGGTTTTGTGTATTCAGTTTTACAGACACTGTGCAGAAGTATGCATAAATTGGTAGATTATCTTGAAGCGGACAATTAACATTACAAGATTTTTTAAAATATTATGCTAAAGCTGCTTAACCGTTGTCATGGTATAGGTATGGTTGATTCGTTCGTTTTAAAACCGCATATGTTTTATCTGGATTTGTGTGGATGAGGTATTAACCCGGGGTTAAATTTTAACCTGGGTTCCTCTTTCTTTTGTTTAAAAGTATTTTCTTGGATAAATTTTTCTTTACTTTTTAGAGCATCCAATCATCAAATTGTAGGCAATAGGGATTAAATTGAATTTGCTTTTTAAGCTTTCATATCTGAATTCAAATTTGGCACTAACCTTGGGTTATCTTAAGCCTGCCTTGAACAACCCAGCCCATCTGGAGAACGGTTTCAAAACAGTGCGGTTTCGGTGTCCGGATTCACTGGGTTCGTGTGGACGGAAGGCTGATTCGTGTAAAAAACGTCTGCGGTTTCTAACATATCTGGATTTTTCTGGACGTAGCCCAATATAGCGTTTTCACAAGACGTCACGGCGGCCATATTGGTGTTCTAAAACAATGAAACGGCGGCCATGTTGGTGCACCAGGACAATCCTGTGGGAGTTGAACTCTTTTCTTATGCAAAGGCTTTCTTTTGTTCCAATACATTTGCATAGATGCTGGCCACGTGAGTGAAAACGCTCTACGTGGCCAGCATCTATGCTAATTTATTGGAACAAAAGAAAGCATTTACTTGCGAAAAGAGTTCAACTCTCAGAGGATTTTCTTGGTACACCAACATGGCTGCCGTTTCATTGTTTTGGAACGGAAAATGAAAACGCTGTAGACAATGTAATCTGGTAACATATTTCAGGAACGTTGACGTGCCGCAACTTGTGTATTCGTGGCGTTAAGATTGTTAAAAGAGTATTTGCATCTCATTGGTTTTGTACCTTAAAATGAAATTTGCATTTAATTTTTGTTTTTGAAGAATCTGGTCAAAATATTTTTAACTTATAGAAATATAATGTATACAAATTTTCTGACGAACAGTCAGATGGAGACATATTCTGACACGCCGCTTCAAAACATTTTAGTTTTTTTCAGTAATTTTTAAGGTATTGTACGTTAGATAATCATATATAATGTTTTATCACCTCAGGCAGTTAAATGTTGTACAGATATCATCTATCACACATGCATTTATTTATTGAATACATATGGCTTATACTCCTTGCGAGCAGTAATAATTTAGGGTTTGTTTAAATCAGTCATTTATAAAATGCTAACCGTTGACTTATTGTTTTAAAATGGTGTGTACGGGATGCGCGCCCAAAACTGAGCATTTTTAAAATGATATCAGAGATTTCCTGTAAATAAAATTATTTAATTTTTTACTGGTGTTTTGTCGATATTGCCCATCTACTCTTTCAACCTTTTTTTGTCTTATTTTATATAGTTCGACATTTAGACCCCATTATTGACCACTCCAGAAAATACCATAATGCTATTTGTTTGTCACCCCAAACTTTGCATAAGAATTGTTTTCAGTTTCTCTTGGGGCCATTTTAACTCCCAAGAGAAACTGAAGACAATGCTTATGCAAAATTTTGGAGTGACAAACAAAGAGCATTATGGCTTGTTATGGTATTCCTTGAGTGGTCAATTGGCCATGGTTTGGCCAGGCAGTTTTAGCAGACAAAAATGTTGCCAATTACAAAATGTTACCAATTACAAAACTATTGTTTAACGATCGGGAACCGACGAATAAATGAACAAAGAAGAGTTTAACACTGTAAGTACAGACGTCATTAATTGAAGAAACATTAAACGTATTGCAATGTTGGCATCACTTGAAAAAGATTATAGATCTCATCTGATGTCAAACCACAATTTTAAGGCCTGGTAACCTTAAACCTTTTAAGTCCCAATATGAGATCAGGTTATGAGAAATTATTAATAAAATGATCACCTAAGAAAAATACTTTGATCTTTTATCAAATTCTCTTAACTAATTCTTAAAGGAAATGTATAGAGATCAGTTTGGAGAATTTGTATGTGGATATTGGGGCTGAAAGGGTTAATACCATCCTTATTAAAAAAAACCCACCCTTCAAGAAAAAGATAGTACACAATGTACTTTGTAGCTATTCAGTGCCACTAGACAGCAAGAAAGGAAAATTTATTGAAAGTTAAAACAACAAATGCTGAAATTAGTATATATCAATAATATTAGTATATATCAATATTACAGTGCGACTACTTGAACCATGTCAATTGGAAGATTATCCAATCACAACGTTATTTGAAAACAATAGATTCTCAAGTTTTTTTTTGCAAACGGAACAAGGAAATTCAAGGTTCAACTATGCATGTGGTAATGCAACTGTTGAAACTTTTTAACAAACCATTTGAACGTACCTGACCTCTCACGCAACAACCCTCAAAATATTTATGAATGTTATTAGTCCGTTTGCAAAAAAAATCGAGAATCTTGTTTTCAAAAAACGTTGTGATTGGATAATCTTCTTCCAAGTACCATGATTCCGAGGCTGCTCTATGATATTCAAAACACATGTTTAGCAAGAGTAAGTTTGCCAATTGCAAGTACATGAAGCTGCAAGATAGCCGCAGTTTGTACTTGAGAGAATTTTCCATCCATATGATTAATTTTTCTTCAGTGACTAATTTCAGAAAAGCCAGAAGCCCCCAATCCCATTTCTTTCAAAAAGGCTGGGAATGCCCCAGTACTGTACAATTTATAGTAATATTCACATTTTATTCAAATATGTGAAGCATACAAAGCTGCTGTTTATCTTCTGGTAATTATCCACATTATACTGTTACCAATGACGATTGTGTCTTAACTATACTACAACCCCAGGGCTGTCATTAAGAGGCGGGGGCCGGGGATTTCCCTCCGCTACTATGAATGTGGCCCCCGGCTACTTTCAAAGGGAAATAGAGGAAAAATAGAACCAAAAGAAATCCTTCACTGTTTGATTCCCCACCATTCTTAGTGACAACCCTGAACCCTCTTACAAAACAAAAGGGAAGTATTGTTTGGACACCTCAACCAAACTGTTCAATCACTAAACTTTCTACTGTGAACAACGGACATTTTTTACACTTGTGACATGAACTTTTTAAGCAAATGAACAATGCCATATTCCCTCTGATATATTTCCCTTAAATAGCCTTAGTAAGTCTTGGACGTGATCTAACCCTCGCTGTAAACATCTGCGAAGCATTGGAGAGAACCTTGTTCTGGGCCTCGGATGGACTCGATGATTTACCAGAAGTGTGTTTTGAAAGTTCCTGCAACAGGATTGGCGAATCGACAATCATGACAATTACTCAAATCCTAGTACACAGGTTCGTGCCCATAACATAGATTTTGCTGTTGGCTTGCACAAAGCAGTAGCCTTAACCAGAGGTTTAGTTTCCTCTCTGGCATATACCACATCATACAGACCTGTGTACATCTTTTTTCTAGGAATTGCCCTCTTGACCACATATTTAATCAGAGACAAATGAACTACAAATGTTGAGAGCTAACATTGAACAATATTTTTTAATAGCACTTCCTGTTTTATGTTAAGAAGTTCAAAAGGAACATAGACAATCAAAATAATCCTTTCGTCCAAGAAAGTAGATCATTAGTTAACAAATCTCACTTCCTCACCTTCAATACCCAGTCATAACAAACAGTACCCACAAAAAATGTATCTACCATTTCAGCGATGCCTATCAAAGAATGATTGTACTTTATAGGAAATTAAAATTTGGATTAAGAGGAAGATTGGTGCAGAAAAGCAACTAATTTAGTAAAACTGTAAGGCTTTTTAATGAAAGTTCAGGGTAAAAGTCCATAACTAGAAGCATTTCGGTGGTGTGTGTGACACCTGGAAGAATTATATTCACAATCAAATAATTATTATGTTTGTTATCATACAGTTTAGAACAGCTTTATAGTAATATAATAAGGCACTACCTGGTCAATGCAAACAAATTTCCATGGCCCAGAAGTCGACATATTAAGATCAAAGGTGTCACAAATTTGTCAAAAATATCTCGGAAAACTGGAGAGGTAACAAAAGATACATTGTAATCTACTCTAATCAGTTACTAATGACTGGTATTACTATTACCAAACTTGGGGTGGCATTGATAAGATTTCAAGCTACAGCGAAGAGGACTTAATTATTGCAGCTGCTTTTCTTAACGTATATAAGATGGATGGAAAACAGCCATTGTGAGGTGTAATTTAACATTTTTATTCTATGTTCAATTGATTTGATACACCTCTCACATTCCTTCCTATGACCAAGTCAAAGCTACACAGCATTATTTTGACAACATAGAAATGTGTAGCATCACAGATGGAAGAGAATCTCCACAAAACTCCTAAGTCGTTTTTTAATTACCATAAAAACCAATGCTATCTACTAATAACCAGTGAATACGTTACTTATACGAATGAGCACTAAGACTAAACTACAAGTTAGTCAGCATTCTGGTCTAATACAGCAGCTCATTAGTGCCCAGGCGATGACCTTATCTATGATTTCATTACCTTTAAGTTGCTTGGTCCTACCTAGTCCAGCCCATTTATTTAATGAAAGCTGAAATTACACACCACATGACCTCGTTAGCATTTGGCTTCTGTGCTTGCTCCTCGGGTTCAAGTTCTAAGAGATCTCGAACCCTTTTCATTGCTAGTTCATAATCGTCATCAGAGAGAGGATTAAATGCATTCTCCAAAACATCAGAGGAGTGTGCAAGATAAATCAATGACAGCACTCTTTTATCCATCCTATTAGGATCATTCACCCATTTTGATAAGACTGCATCCTGAACTTTTTTTACAACTTTTTGTTTGAGACCTGAATCCACAAGAGGATGTGTTGTCATGTCGAACAAGAGGAAATTCTGTTTCTCCGTTGTGAGCACTCCCTTCTCAACAAGATTCTTTGCAAGTCGCTCACGCACATTCCTGAGCTGATATCTAAGTTTTAGGGGATTCCACGTCTCTCCTGCAGGAAAAATAAAAAATATGTTCAAGAATACAACACTAAATTTCATGTAGCAACAAGAAAATTTACAGGGGGGACTAACGGATAAAAAAATACAGCAAATTTGGCATTTTTTGAATTCAAAAATATATCCATGACTCCAGAGAATTACTGACAGGATTGATTTGACTCCAACACAGAAATGTTTAGCCAAATTTTATTTTTTGTCCGCCAAAATTCTTTAAAATATAAAAATCATCGTAAAAGATAACAAAATATAAAAAGCATTAATTTGCCTAACAATGATGATGATTATTAAAATTATTATTATTATTATTATAAATGAAAATTTCAAGAGAAATAATCAAATGCAACCTTGCAAATTTTACTTCAAAGGTTTTGGGATATTGTGATGGATGATAATATCTGAAATATTAAAAGGAAAATATAATTTGAACCAGTCTCAAAGTTGCACCACAGCACATCTAACAAAATGACAACAAAGCTAAAATTCACTTGGTTAGTGGATCAAGATCAGGGGTTTCAATACGCACTGACGGGCAATAAAATGCTTCAGCTACTTTGCTCATAGAAGTCAGCTCTTACAAGCAACTAAGCAACTAGTTTGAATAATATATCATAAAATCTGAATGAAAACATAATTATGATGTGTTTTCATAAAGGCCCACTAGTTTTACATCATGCAGTCATCTGAACTCTATATTTTAGTCACTTTTTCACAGGCTTAAACAGAATTTGTTTATGTGCAAAAGTACATAATTTAGTTATCATTGTAGGAATTGACTGTGTGACTGATAAATCAAAAAGATGGATGAAAGCTGCATTTTCTTGAATGAGAGATACACTCTTCTGTCATCAGTTTAGTCCCCAGAATGCTAAAAATCACATTTTAAGGCTTTGAAGTGTCAAAATTTTCTGGGGAAGCATGCCCCTTGCTGATACAGTTGGTCAAACCTGCCCGCTACTTCAATTTTTATTGAAACTCCTGATGGTAAAAGAGGCTTCTTTTTTAAAAGGAAACATTACTGTTCCCTGCTTTTACTTTTAAATTTTCTGGGGTGCAATATCAATTTTTCAAGATGTCATTATTTTGGTCTGTTACTGTGGTTGAAAAGCGACATTTTTCATGTGACTGCAATCACATACACTGTAATTCATTAAAATTCAAAAAGGTCCAATGATCATATCCTGATTTGACGCACACCAATTTTAAAGTATCTTCAACGGCTGGATACATGCTCACAGGTTTCTTTTCATGTCACATGGATGTAGTTAAGAAGGAATTTGTGTAACAAGCAGAAAGAATGTCTGAGTTTTGTAGAAGCTACTGTTTCTCCTACAGAAATTTCAGACGCACATGTAAGTCTGTATTATTTTCCCAAATGCAATCAAATTACAAAAATGTCTCAACAAGTGTTACTAACGCGGTACAAGTATTAAGGATCTACGAGGAGAAGTTATAGGTCGTAACTTTAAAATTGACCCGAAAAGGTTTTTTAATTCTGCAAACATTATATACAGATATATGCTAAACAGTGACACGTTCACCGTATCCAATGCCGACCACGATCTGTTTTAAAACCTCCAAAAATTCAGTCTCTTGAGAAAAATTCTTATTCTTATACTTTCCAGTATCCAAATGCACAACATAAACCAGAAAACACTTAGTTTTTAGCTTTTTTGGATTATCAACACGTAATCGACGCATGGGATTAACTCATAAAAGTTCAACATAGGCAACGAAAACAAATAATAAGTTTAAAAGCAGATCGGGATGTTTCGTGGGCTAAATGCGGCGAAAAAACGCAATGTACGAAAAGACAGGGATAGGAATTTTTCATGGTGTTTGATTCTACCAAATTGAATATGGTGGCAAGAAGATGACGACATGAATAATTACGTTTTCTCACTCACCGCTTAGTAGTTCGATCCAATTTTGCGCAGTATCTGGGGGATCGGTCTCTTTAATGTGCTTTAAGGCTTCATCCAAAAGTACATCGCCAGTTAAATTATCGCTCTTGCATAAAACCCGCCTGTTAAGCAAGCTCCTTCGCCGCATTCCAGTCTTCTCGAGTTCGATTCTTCCGCGCAATCCTAACTCAATCACCATACAGCCACGCAGACCAGATGAAATGCAGTCGTTCCAAAATGACGTATAACCCTAGCGATCAGGAGCGAAATAGTTCATTATGTAGAGACCTAACGACATCAAGGACAAACGAAAGCTTCTAAAATTTACCTCTTTATCCTTAAGACCTAACAGTAGCACTTCTTCCATCAGAGTGAGTCGAGTTTCTTTTCTGTCGCCTGTCTCTTCGTCGCTCTCGTAACCTTCGTTACCTTCGATGTCCGGGTTATCCTCGGGTGAAATTCCACTAGAGGCCGTGCTACGCTGTACTAGTTGCCCTGTCCTTCTCGTTGCCATTTTGCGACAAGAGAAGAACCGACGAACGAAAGATGTACCGAAAGAACAACGAAAAGAACCATAAACTTCACAACTATTTTTGTCCAAGATGGCCGTCTTTGGCCGGTTTTTGCTGTGTTCCCTGGCCGAACTGACATATGGGTAAATATTGATTCGCATTCCCCACCCCACCCTACATGTGGCTGTATAGTGATTGCTTCTCTTCAGTAATTAAACACATTTTTTTGACTTTCAAAATATCGTTAAGGCAACATCGACATTTGGACAATATTCAATAACAATAATGTATCCCTCATCCTCGGAATTTGTAACACTTTAACTGAAGTTTCCAGTAGTATTTACAGGAAGATAATTGCATTGTCTGTTCAAAACATCCTTGCACGAAATATTGCACCCCCGGGCCCCCGGGAGTATTTTCAAATAAATTTTAAAAAGGCAATATCTAATGTTAGAAAAGAACAAGAATCGCCGAAAGGCGTTTCTAACTGGGCTGCAACGGAACGATTTTTTATGAGGGGAGGGCTTGGGGAGGGCGGCAGCCATAATCTCGTGGCCAGGCCTCCCACGGCCTTTTCTACTTTTCAGCTCAAGACAAAGTGAGATCTCGGTAACCATAAGACCTTGTCGCCGACCATTGAGTGACATAGAATCTGAAGTCAGAGAGTGAGACATTTTACCCTTTTGGAAGACTTTCGTAACAAGAAAAATGAGTACCATTCAGTTAAGTCGGGGCTGTAGAATAACTTTTTACATAACTTCTAATTTGATATGCAGATTTTTTTTCCCGGGTGAGGGTGTCTGTGCAAACTGTCGAGGCCACCACTTTGTCACTGACCATTGTATGACGTAGCATCTCATGTGAGAGTTAAACATAAGAAACTCATCTGAACACTATACCCTTTTGGAAGACTTTCGTAACAAGAAAAATGAGTACCATTTTTAAATGTAACTCTTCAAATTCCGCCATTTTGAATAAAAATAAGCAAGTTAGCCACTCTAAGCAGGAAACGATTAGCAGTATTTTAACGAACGCCTCCCCCAATCTCTGTGCCCCCCCCCAAAAAAAATTAGCGTGGCAGTATAACGTGACTAATTTGACCTAACAGGAGATTTCAAAAGTTATTGTCCTTCTATGGGTCATAAAACGCGACAGGGTCAGCTATTGCTGGTTTTCAGTGTCACGCCATTCAAAACAGATCAAAATAAAAATCAAAACCGTTCAATAGATAAAGTCCAGAATCTGGGAAATGAAAGGAAGTACATATAAAAAGACCCTCGCCAAGATTCAGGTCAGATCCGAATCCGAAGAAATGTTTTACCCAAACTTATAGAGATTTGTATGGGGACGCCATACTGGTGCTGACCTGCATGAGCTCCAACATGGCCGACGGAAACCAACAGAAACATCTGCTACCGAGTTTTGCTACAAAAGCGTGAATTTATTCTTCGATAAACTCATAAACATTAAAGTAATACTTTTTCTAATACGTGAACTGTTTAGATATCAAAATTTCCTGAAATAATTCATTTTTTTAACATACATGTCAGCTCTCTTGGCCGTCATGTAGATGCCGAGTCACGCAAAAGCTTAGAAATTCAAGCGTACTCTATCACAAAACCAAGAACCCTTTGGAAGCGAAAATTTGTATGAAAATTAGTTTTCAGCTGCTCTAATGCATCGTGAAAGTAAAATCTCGGTAGGATCGATAGTTTTTTAGTTTGACTTTTAGTGACGTCATGAGAAAACCAACAATACAACCTCGTCCCCTGGACTTTTCCCTCAAAAAATGGGTGGGATGGGGCGTCCCACCCATTTTTTTGTCAGCTATACCGTTGACTAGCAATACATTTCTCAATTCTGGTTCTTAAGAATAACAAAGGAAATTAAATTTAAGTTTTGTTTTTGTCTGATATCAGTTTAAAGCCTTTCTCATGATCTCAGACTGTCCAAGTGTATATACTAAAACGGTGGGAAGTGTTTTTCGCACACTCTGATTGGCTACTCAATCAGTGAATATTCTGCATTAGTATATTCACACTTAGTGATCTTGTTGATTTAGGCAATCTGATTGGTTCGCTATCTCGGACTATTCAACAATATTCACCTCCTAGCGAGTGGATATATAATGTGTGAGTTCAGTGTTTTTCCCATTTTTTTAGGGAACGATCTTTTAAAAGTCGACAAAATCCTAGGGCTGACTTTTTTAAGGCAAGAAAAGACTTGGAAGTATTCAATACGGCGTTTTTCAATTTACTGTAGTGAGATTTGTGCTCGATGGATTGTTTACAACTCCCGTGTATTCGCGTAGAAGAAGCCGTTTCGTGAACTCAGCGTTTTCTAGCAAGAAAATTTTGGCTCAAAAGTCGAAGTTTATTTATGACAAACAAATTTAAAAGGAAATTTTTGCAGAAATTCTACGTGTCAAGTAAACAGAAAAAAAAAAATGATACAGGAAGACGACGTCTTACCTCGAGCACCCGAGCCGCCATTTTTGTCCGCACTTCATGCGAAGAACGACACAACAAACCCTTTTGGCTATAAACTTGGCGAGTCAACAGAAAACAACAAAGCTCTACTTTTCTTCTCAGGTAAGGAAACAGTTCAAACTTTTAGGGGTTCCATTTAAGCCATTACGCTGTTGTTTGCGAAATGATAAACTTGTGAATTGCCATGTTTGAAAATTCTGCAAAGATCTATTTTTAAACTTACGCGTGATTTGATCTGTCAATCAAATCGTACTTTTTAATGGTTTCGTCTCTGATTTTGTTGAGATCACTTCGTGTGTATATACTGAAACAATTATTCTTTTCGATCTCGGTGAATAGTGGCCAAATATTTACCTCGGGCCCCGCCCCCAAAGCCAGGGAAAAGCGCCCTGGGGACGAGGTTGGGCAGCTCCATTTGAGGTGAATAATTGTTATATATACATTTTTTTTTTGACGTGGCGATCAACATTTGTACTGTCGCAATTTGTAATAATCATCGCACTTTGTAATACCTGTCGCAATTTGTAATAAATCCATCGCACTTTGTAATACCTGTCGCAATTTGTAATATACCGTGTCGCACTTTGTAATAAAAAAGCTGTCGCAATTTGTAACAACTGTCCATCGCACTTTGTAATAAAGTAAGCTGTCGCAATTTGTAATAATTCCTTTGCACTTTGTAATACCTTTTTGAGAATACTAGGTGGTTTTCATTCGATGGTTAACCGGCGGGTGTACTTCCTTATATGGCCAATACGGGGATGTGCCTCTGGACAGAGCGTTGTCAGAGTACAGAATCTAGAAACACTAGACACAAACGAGCCATTATTAAAAAGCATTTAATTTCCGCAAATCGTAACATCCCTCCTACGTCATTCGAATAAGGACACCAGGAGATTTCAAGCTTTCCTTGTTAGATCTTATAACAAGTCGACACAACACGTGGTGCACCGTCCTTGTCTAACGCGCCATCTTAAAGAAGTAATAGTGGCTTCCATATTTTGGCCAAATTAATCAAACGAGACCTGGAAAGATTCAAAATGTTTACTGCAAATAATTAATAAAACGTTACCACTGGCAAACCGTCGAACCACAACAGAAACCTAAACACAAAATCCAATTAGTCGCTGGCCAATACCTTCGTATGTACCTGTTTTTATAACACTCACTTGCGGTCTTACACTGAGCCGGCTGGGCATTTGGCCCATTATTCTCACTTGATTTGGTCCCATATAGGAACAAAAGGAGTACTCATTCCATCTTAAAACAATTGTTTTCTATAAGGAGTCCTCTAAACCAAATACCATGGGGATAGTAAAAAAATTATCCTTCCCTGCGTATGTACAACTCGTAAGACCTTGCAATTCTTCCGAGCGTGTTCTGGATTACTGTTTTTCCACAAAATGGAAAGGATGGAATAAACCATCCATTACTACTTGAGTTACCCTATCTAAGGATCAAACCAAAGACACGAGGCCAACAACGTAAAAAAATGATACCCTATTAAAGGCTCGAGATCCTCAAAAACAATACCCTATCAGGCGGTACTTACCTATCTAGCCCATCCATATATGGGATTATATTCCCCCAGAAGACTTCACGTGTTACTTGGCAAGCAAACATGGATTTGGACTACAAATGCCAGGTTATTCATGAATTTTCTGTTGTTAAATGTTGCTTTAGTTATTTAAACATTTTTGAATTAAACATGTTTCATCTCTTTTTGGTGATATGTCACAGGAAGTTTTATGTCTTTCATAAAAGCGTTTCTAGTTGGTCACGTGATTAATCAAGGCAGAAAAATTTATAGCGTAAGACTTGCATGTTTGACCAAAGTAAATGTTACGGAGATGTTACGTGGTAGCAGACGTCATCATTTTTGTTTATGAAGTACCATGCATATTTTGGCATTATATTAATGTTGACGAAGTAAGTTGAATCACTCTCAAAAAATTATTACAAAGTGCGATGGAATTATTACAAATTGCGACAGCTTAGTTTATTACAAAGTGCGATGGACTGTTATTACAAATTGCGACAGCTTTTTTATTACAAAGTGCGACACGGTATAT